GTTGCCACAAAATAGCCATTAAAGCTGAAAGTGGCACTAAACACTAATCAATCAATCAATCAATCAAAAATGAGTATTTGCACAAAATGCAAAAGTTTGACTTATATATGTCAGACAAAATTCAAAATTATAAATAATGATCTCTAACAAACTAATGTCTATAAGCTTTTGAAGGATATTATTTGGTAGAATTTTGATTTTGAATTCAAGGGACCAAAAAAGTGGCCTTACCATACATTCACCTTTATTAATTTTGTTATACAGCAAATCACTTTTTTTGAGATTTACCTAAATAGATTCTTTAATGATTAAATCGCAAATTTGAAAATTGTTGATATAATATATATTTCTATAAGAAATTGAGCAATATATTAAACAAACAAAAAATAATAATTAAATTAAATATAATATAATACATAGCATTAGTGTCATAAAAAAGGACCCCCAAAAAACCAGTGTTAAAGTATAAACTTTCTAGATACAATGTTGCAACCACAAATTGAAAAAAAGCATATGCATAATTGTATTGTTCATTAAATGAACACATTTGTCAAATAAAAAAAATTGCAATAGTGTCCTAATTAGACATAAATATATATTTTACCCCCTGGATCAAGTGTGATTCTATATTTGTCTGCTTGAGACGGTTAATTTATTCAATTTCCTGTTGAGGGTACTTTTTCTATACAAAATCATCTAGCCTATTTGCCTTTTTTGTGATGTCACATCAGCATTAGACATAAATATAGATTCTGGACTTTTGGCCATTTAAGTGTGGGATAAGACACTTAAATCAAAATGTGATATTTCCCCTCTTGAAAAAGTACAACTTACGATACTACCAAGTTTTTGTTAGGAGTGCACTAAATGGATGTTCTTATCCCACACTTAAATGGCCAAAAGTAAAAAAATGAAAACAACACGTTATATAATTTCCTGCGTCCAAAGCGCTTTTCTGGATTTACCTTCGTCAGGAACGCTCAAAGCCAAATAGTATATACTATACATCATGAATGGAGTCATCTATTCTAAATTTTCTATTTGCTTATATTAGAAAACAATATGAAAATCTTAAAACAGTTTGATCCATCAACTACTAAGTCCACACTTGACCATAAAAGTGTGTTGCACAGTCCTCACAATACTAAGACACAGTTTGTTTTTGCAACTTTGTTGAAATGTTACAATGAAAGACAATGTTGATATTTCATTAGCCAAATTATGACAAACATAATTCATTAATGGTAGTATTCCTAGCTTGTCCAAATCTAATGCTGTTGTAACAGTTTCCAATTTATCTCAAAATAGTATATTAGAGACAATTTTACACAACCTTATTTCATATAAGATTGATGGTTTCTATGAGGGTGTGGATGGGGGTTTACTGAATTGAGAATAATGGGTCAACAATATAAAGACTAGAGAAAAATGGACCAAAAAAATAAATAGAGAAAAATGAGGTGCTAAAATATAATGAATAGGCAATAATGGGCAAACAGTATAAAGAATAGAGAAAAATGGCTTAAAATTAAAGAATACAGAAATGAGGAACCCCTCATCCAGACCCTCTTCTATCCATCACAACCTTTGTTTGATATGGTTTTTGTAATACATTTGTACTTTTGGTGTAGTGTGATGCAGTAAAAACTACACAAACTACACATAAAACAGCACCATTTAAACCGACACCTTCTTTGAGATCACATGATTACAAGAGTCAACCATAGACCATCGGTTGCTGTAGATCTATTTGGCATTGTTTATTTTAATTAATGTAAATTCAGAAATAATTGCAAGGTTTTTATTAATGCGAATAATGGGACTAGGTGAGTATAGCAATAATAAGAACTTGCATTCTAATATCTGATACATATATCTGTATGTAGTTTTTCCTGAAATCCCAATAATTAATCTAGCATTTTTGTCCATTTTTAGAAAATCGCAATAATAAATGTAATAATTTCCGTATTTACAGTACTATATTTGATCATTCTGTTTGAAAATATCTTACAATCAACAATAAAATGAATCTTACATGCATGCGAGAACTAACCAAATACTTGACAACAGTTTATGCACAAGAAGTCTTTTTTTTAAATATTTACCTGGTACCTACATGTGCTCACTATTATCCAATCCAAAATATGTGCCAAAAATTTGCAGAAGGTAATTTTTCAAATAAAGATCTATATTTTTCTTTTAGCCACATTTTAAAACTTAACATTCCCGTTGCCTGAATATTCACAATATTTGAAATTTCACATGTACACTATCAATTATTTTATGCGTATGATTTTGAAATATATCAGTTTTAAAAACTCTTAGCACACTTCCCATTTCTATGTAAATTGTAAGAAATTGTTGATCAAAAGGGGAAATAACTCTTATAAAACCTGCCGTTTAAAAAGGGGGAATATTTGACAGAACTCTGTAATATAACATACATGTTCTATGTCTTTTTCAACAAATGCTAGTTTTGTAATACTATAATATGAATATTTCACATTTTTTGCATATTTACTTTCACACAGCTATTATCAGCAGTAACATTAAACAATAACTTAATACATTTAATAAATGGATATGATTTTTTTTAAATAAAGCTTTCCTCATAATTATAAATCATTAAAGATTTTAAAAAGTTTTGAACTTGAAAAAAAAAAGCAACAACAATTAAACAACCATTTTTTTCATCTCAAGGTGTGAAAGATTTTTTAGAAAAACACAATTTGGTTTCCTAGTAACAATGCTGTTTGTTCCTGTTTTGGTTAGTTTATTTAAAACCCTAGTAAAAAAGCAAACTAACTACATTGATAATTTAAAAAAAATGTATATATATATATATCCTAAATAAAATGAAAACTGAAAATATCACAATGATCAATGAATGCTGATTTTCAAGTCATACATATTCATCAAAAGGTTAGAGCATACAATTATAGGAATCCATATATTTTATTTTTTTGCATGATTGTTAAACGATCAAGAAAGATTTAGGTGGTACAAAACACTACAGGGAGATAACTGTGTAAAATCCAGCTGAACGTTTTTATCACATTCTATTGTTTTGGAAATATTAAGCTTCCCAATGATCAAAACGAGTGTTTGTCAAACATCTATATATCCAATGAAATTTTTTCAATTAAGTGTGTGATTCAAGTTTTTTAAAATTTTTCCATTTTTGTCAAAGGGTCAAAGTAAATATTTTGTCAAAATTTTATGAAAATTAAACAAGCCAAATTTATTTTAGTCAAGATGTTTGGTACACTCTTAATCCTTGCAGAAATCTATAAAAAAAAAAAAGTGGTTTACAGTAACCTTGAGCCTGTTCATGTAAGACACCTGAAAATTATTACTGCTTTAATTTAATTTTATACACATTCAAACAAGGTTAAAATTCCCCAAGACTGACTTTAAAATGAAAGTGATGCCTAAATTTGATGGATGTTGAATGTTTACAAGTCAATTCCGTTATGCAAGTTCTTCAAAACTAACACCAAATACTGAATCTGACCAGCTGAAATTTAAACCAAAGTAAAAACCTGAACTTTTTTTTTATTACCGCTTTTGTATTTTTTTCATTTCTTATGAAATTTTTTTACAGAACATCAGGAAATTTTCTCTATGTTCTGATTGGCATCTTACAAAAGTACTTATGCATCACAAATAATACAATGTGTTGTAAAATATATTTTGTGAAAAGCCATAAACCGTAAACAAAGAACATGGCCAAATTCAGACAATTCCTTCTAGGGCCTTAACCGTGAACAAAACCTAATGTGTGAATAACCTTATTACAGTATTTTAGTAACTTTTATGATAAACTGTTCACACAGAGATATGTCTAGCCTGTCGGCATAAAATTCAGAAAAAAAGACAATCTGATTGACAGGAACATTGCTCATTACTTCAAAGTCTCTGGACCATGAACTAGTGGGCAGGGCCTCAAAATGGTCAACACACTGAGATGTACAGACAATACTGGAACTTTATAAAAAATATTATTGTTCATTGGAAATAGTTTCTATCAAACTAACTTAAGCAGAAAACTTAACATTGGTAATTGGCGATTTATTCAAAGTCAATGGACCATGAGCTATGGGGCAGGGAATCAAAATAGGCATCAAACTGATATGTACTGGTAGTAATGCAAATTCATATAAAATAACATTAATCTATTACAAATAGTTCCAATCAAACTAATTTAAGCAGAAAACTTAACAATTATTGATGATGATGATAATGACAACATCTTCGTGGGAGAAGCAATACCTATGTTTTGTCTTCTGTGACTTTGTTGCAGTCGAGCAAAAAATTGAAATATAACAATACATATATATTCAGAATCACAATGATTGTAACAAAATCTGAGATACATAATAGAGCAATCAATTCCCACACATGTTAACACCATACTATCTTTTGGCAAGCACAAAAACAGCAGCAGTTCCAAGTAACAATTATAACAATATAAAATATCTATTAAATATCATTCTTGGTTTTATACAATTTGGATTATTTTTTTAGAAAAATAATGTTTGAAATCTACGTCAAATGTCATCATCATTTTACAATCTTGTAAACTCAAGTAAATCTTTGCATCTGGTATTTTTAAAACATGCATTTTCACTGAACTAGTACACATTTCTGTTTAGGGGCCAGCTGAAGCCCGCCTCTGGGGGTGCGGATTTTCTCGCTGTGTTGAAGACCCATTGGTGGCCTTCAGCTGTTTTCTGCTCTTTGGTCGGGTTGTTGTCTCTTTGACACATTCCCCATTTCCATTCTCAATTTTAGACATAAGCTTATGTTGTTTAATAAAACAATGTATCAAAATTTGAATATTCAGACCAGATTACCATATACATGTATACCACAAAATTTTCCAATCTTTACACTTGACCACATTACCACAAGCCCAAGCTTGTAAAATTTCTATCATGCCAATTAGAATTTCTACAAAAAGGCTACTAGAATCTAAACAAAATTTTCCCAAAAATGAGCCTAGAGCTTGTGGCTGCATAAGTTTATCGTGAAGACTATATGTCTATGATGTCCCAGGTGTTTATACCCATACCTTCTACCATAATTTTCTAGTCAGTACGTATACAGAGATCAGATCTGCAGTCTTTCTCCTTATACTTTTGAAATTTAATATTTCTCTGACCTGTTCCTCCCTAATTTTTCGTTTGAGACTGTTTGCCATGTTGCTGTTGTTGTTCTTGTTGTTTAAGCTTCTGTTCTCTTCTAGCTTTAATTGCTTGATTAAGTTTTGTCCGGACAATGTTTAAATGATTAATGATGTACTTTTCATTGGGTGCCATATTATACACTTTTGTCAGGCATTTTTCAGCACCAAATAAATCACCTCTCTCTACCATAACAACACACAGATTGTGATTGGCTTGTATATTGTCTGGCTCCAATTCAACAACTCTCCTAAAATGCTAGAAAAAGAGTAAAGAGAAATATAGACTTTAAAACATTACATAAATGATATATAATTTTTTTTAATCTTTTTTCTGGGGGGTTAATCAATTTAATATGTTAGTCTTCCATTGCAATTTAATGGAATGTAGAGAGAAGTTGGCTGATAAATAAGCAGAATCAGATAAATGAAAGTAGAAGGTATAGAACCACTAATTCTGCCCAGTAAGAAAAAACATACAAGAAAGTAGTACATATTATAAACAAAATAGTTCCTAAGCATAGCTGTAACTTTGTCAATCAGAAAAATATTTGGGTAATTTTGGTCTCAAATGAAAGCTTAAGTACTTGGGATCACTGGAGAACCCTTGTTAAAAGTTTCTTTTGAATAACAAAACTAGAGGCTCTCAAGAGCCTGTGTCGCTCACCCGAATCTACTTTGGTTTTGGAAATCATGTTAAAATAGATTAAAATCATAACAGATACCCTAATAATGAGTGAGGCCAAATTTGGTTTAATATTGGCCCTGTAATTTAATAAAAAATCCTGGTGGCCATCTTTAACAGTAAATCAGCAACAAATTAGCAAAACTTCATCAGCACCTCATAAGAAACATTTATGCCATGTTTGGTTTTATTCCATTCAGTGCACCTCTAGAAGAAGCATTTGTATGTATTTCCAATAGGGTCTTATGTTAAAGGAAGTCCCCCCGCTGGCAGCCATCCTGGATGAAGGATCAGCTTCAAAGTAACAACACTTAGTCAGCACCTCATAAGGAACATTCACGCCATGTTTGGTTTCAATCAATTCAGTGGTTCTCTAAAAGAAGACATTTGTATGTATTGTCCATAGGGTCCTATGTTAAACTAAGTCCCCAGCTGGTGGCCATCTTGGATGATGGATCAGCTTCAAAGTAACAACACTTGGTCAGCACTTCATAAGGAACATTCATGCCATGTTTGGTTTCATTCCATTCAGTGGTTCTCTAAAAGAAGACATTTGTAAATATTTCCCATAGGGTCCTATGTTAAACTAAGTCCCCTGCAGGCGGCCATCTTGGATTATGGATTGGCTTCAAAGTAACAACACTTGGTCAGCACCTCATAAGGAACATTCATGCCATGTTTGGTTTCATTCCATTCAGTGGTTCTCTAAAAGAAGACATTTAAAATTGAAAATGGATTTCCCATTGGGTCCTATGGTTAACTAAGTCCCCAGCTGGTGGCCATCTTGGATGATGGATCGGCTTCAAAGTAACAACACTTGGTCAGCACCTCATAAGGAAAATTCATGACATGTTTGGTTTCATTCCATCAGTGGTTCTCTAAAAGAAGACATTTGTATGTATTTCCCATTGGGTCCTATGTTAAACTAAGTCCCCTGCTGGCGGCCATCTTGGATTATGGATCGGCTTCAAAGTAACAACACTTGGTCAGCACCTCATAAGGAACATTCATGCCATGTTTGGTTTCATTCCATTCAGCAGTTCTCTAAAAGAAGACATTTGTATGTATTTCCCATTGGGTCCTATGTTAAACTAAGTCCCCCGCTGGCGGCCATCTTGGATGATGAATCGGCTTCAAAGTAACAACACTTGGTCAGCACCTCATAAGGCACATTCATGCCATGTTTGATTTCATTCCATTCAGTGGTTCTCTAAAAGAAGACATTTGTATGTATTTCCCATAGGATCCTATGTTAAACTAAGGCCCCCGCTAGCGGCCATCTTGGATGATGGATTGGCTTCAAAGTAACAACACTTGGTCAGCACCTCATACGGAACATGCATGCCATGTTTTGTTTCATTCCATTCAGTGGTTCTCTAGAAGAAGTTCATAATGTAAAAAGTTAACAACAACGACGACGAAAAATGAAATTAAGTTAGGAGGGCATATTTAACCTGTTGCTCAGATCAGAAGTACCTGTTTTTGTATTACCCAACTTTTGGGAACCAGTGGGCTCTAATATGCAATTAAAGGTATGTTGATTTTTTTCAGCACAAGTCAGGATAACGTAAAGTTTTGACATGCAATGACTATACAATATATCACTTTATTTGAAGTTAAACCTTACCATGCTGAGCCAGTCATATGATGGGATGACCCAAACCACCGTTATTTGGCTCCAATGACTCTCCATACTTTTAGAGGTCAACTTTATGATACTTATTTCGAAATTGATGCATGTTCCCTCAACCTGAGGCTATCTATTGTCATGTTTCTCATGTTTAAGTTGCATTTTGAGCTCAAATACGAACTTGGAAAATTGAAATCGGATAAAACTGGTTTTTCTGGAGGGGTGGGCTTCACTTCGGTGTCTTACACAGGAAGTTCAGAGGCCTAAAACTTTCAAAAATAGTGTCAGCCGGCAGGCATATATCTACTGATCATAATTATTATTGAAATACGCAGAAGAAAAGACTACTTCAGGTTTCAGGTCCAGTTGAAGTACAAAATCGGAAAAAATCGTGAAATTCCGTATTTTTTGTCCAAATGACCTTCTTTAGACTGGTGTTCCCAGATTAGTTTCACTCCAACCTAAGAACTGTTGGGGTTAATGTGCGTACTGGGGTCCACTGTACATGCAGACTACAACTGGATACCTATATCAGCATCCCTCGGTCTTTGGGGGTCAAGAAATAGGACGAAAAATCATCAAAAATGACGCTTTTTGCACCTGATGACCAAATTTGGGGCAAATTCCCGCCCACCCAACCAGGCCGCCCTGTGATCCCCTACCTTAGATTAAAAGAAATCAATATGCTTCAGCAGCAGGGTAAAGCTCATTTGCATATAATTTGCATATTTTTGCAAACAGGGGCATAGCTACCCGGAGGCATGACAGCACGTGCATCCACGTCGTTTTCACCAACAAAAAAAAAACAGAGAGAGACGGACAAAGTTAACATATAGGAATTAGTCAATTGGACAAAGTGGGAGGGGTATTAACGTGATGCATCTATTATCTATTATGGAACTTGATATTTGTTTAACATTCGGAGACTGTTTGAGTCCATCCCCCCCCACAACACACACACACACACACATTAACTGACTCGTCTTCATCTCAACACCCACCTTATCCAGATATAGGCAATATCTCCATAGAATGTTTACAACAAGACAGAGTGATACTAGATTTGCTGACAAAAAAATCATGGGAAAATGTTGCAAAATACAAGTAAATTTCCTTTTAGGTAATTTAAAATTTACGAACAGAAGTATTTTTTAGCAAATAAAGGTAGATCTAAGTCTAAGAAGAAAAACACCGAACAAACTATTTCATGATTTAACAGTTTAACATTGTTTCTTTGGTGAAAAAAGCATCCAATTATTTATTTTTTTTAAACCCATCGAAGCCAAATTATTTTTTTTCCTCAAACTTTAGGATCAGTTTTAAAAACCCATAGCCTGCGTCCCCTTCCGACAAAAACGATGACTCACCATCGGTGTGTTTGTAAAATTGCAACTTAAAGTTAAGGCCGATGCAAAGAAAGGGGTGGACCGCACCCCATTTTTACCTGGAAATTCTTTATATTTCTTGTAGTTAAAATGAAAAAAAATGCAGCCTTATTGTAAAAAAAAAATACCCAAACACTCATCCTTTAGAATTTCTGGGTCCATGAGTTGGGACAGGCAATTATAAAGAAGTTAAACAATATATACAGAATGTATTTTCTATGTTTAACTTAATAGATTAGTTGTGCAATCTGTGGCCACCATCTGTAAAAACGGCTGGTTTGGTTCCTACATAATGCACTTATTGTGAATGACATTTTTTTTATCCTCCCGTTCCTTGCCCAACCGATTACGAGGTATACTGGTTACTGTGTATTCTCTGTCCGTGCATCCGTCAGTTACAACATTTTTTCTCAGCAACTATTCATCACAGCAAAATTCCTACTTCCTCTTTCCCGACCTCTGGCTACTTTCGTACATATGGTCATACATGGAAGTTTTTGTGGCATTTTCTTAGGAACTATTTCTGACAGAAATCTAATATTTAGTAACAAGCTTCATGAATGTTTTACTTATCAGTCCCCTCCCTACTTCTTGTCTACCAACTGATACCACTTTGTGATGTAGGGTTTCCTTAGAGTTAGTCGTAACCAGTAAGCAATAGCTCACAGTTGTCGATTTTGTATTTAGTAAAAGGAAGACTCAGCTCATTGGTTGAAAGGCTTAAGAGTTATGCCTCATACGATGAAAATAAAATCATATCCTTCAGAATACCCTTGGTATTCAAAACTTTATACCCCCCCTACCCCCCCCTACCCCAATATATCCACATTTAGTATTGTGTTTATATTGTGTTTATGTTTATTGTTTGTTTTAATACATATACTATGCTCAATACAAATATTAGCATATGGAACAAATCTCCGCGATTTTAAAAGCTCTCACGGCGTGCAAAAAACGCAAACGAAAATGTTTAGTCTTCATTCGACTCGAAGTTAAAAAAATAGTTCACCAAAAAACCACAACAAAAATGTACAAGTTTTATTACGGCTGTGATTGTTTTGAAATGCTATATATATGGAGCTTAAGAGGGCTTTGCCCCAGCACCCCCCCACCCTACCAGGGCTTTACCCTGTACCCACTGGGGGCCTTAGCAACCCCAAGGCCCCTTGCCCTTTACTTTGTGATTCCACTTCATTAAGAAGGTTGCTACGCCCCTGGCAAATAAACGAAAATTAGACATTTTCTGAAAACAATTCAGCATGGTAAGTGTTAAGACAAAATAGCTATGAATGCTTGAAGTTGCAGAATTTAACGTAGAAAGCAATGGGGCTATGAATTAGTGGTGTTATTCCAGAACAGTATACATAACTTGTGCTTTGATATCTTGACAAATAGTTTTTATTACTTTTAACATGTACTGTACAATACACACAAAATAATTCTGCAAATTTGGAGATCTCTCTCATTTATAATATTTTTGTATATTCAGAAATTTTGCCAGCAACTCTGTCCAATTGTAACACATTTGATACTCACTTTATCAGCAGAATCTAAATCTTTCTGTACATTAACATTGATATCTCCCAATAACATCATGCCTTTGGTATGATCAGGATAATTCTGAAATGTAAAGTAAATTCTATTTTTCTTTACTAACAGTCAGGGATATAACTCTATAGGGTTATTAGAGAAAATATCTTGCATGTGTTATTACAGATACTTTTACGAGTTGTCTACTCTTTATTCCTTAAATTTTCTAAATCTGTAGTAACATATGTTTGTTATTTGTTAAATGAATCATAAATATTTTAATTTTTAGTGGGCACTTGGGAATTCTTGAAACTTTGCGCAGAAACTAAATACATAGCCTTGATAACTAATTTTCGAATTAAATTAATACATTTTTCATCAACCATGGTAAATCAATGGGACAAGGCTTTTAAGGGATAAAATTAGCTGTAATAACAAGGCTTAGTTATTAAAGGCATGTAACTTATTATATGAGACACTTGGGAATTTCTGGGAAGCTTGCGCAGAACCTCATTACATGCTCTGATCATTATTTCTTACAATAAATTAAAATACATTGTGATTAAAGGGAAACTTCGCAAAAAAATGAAAAATTCATATTCTGTTCATTATGTATATAAAAGCACAAATTCATAGATATTAAAGTTTTATTCTACAAGTTAAGAGATCACCATCGATTTTAAATTTAGAGTATCAATTCTCCGCATGCGGCCATTTTGACATCCTCCCCGAATATTGACCACGATATATCTATAAACCACAAAGGACCAAAACAAGCAGTAACCTAACGTAGCCGTAATTGAGTGTCGATATCTTGTCAAGCGTACGGTTGTTTTATCCGACAAGAAAAGCATAAACAGTTTCCCGGGTCACAAAAAAGATTATGAAAGACATGGTTGTGCAACCTTTCCTAACTAACTTGATACGGAAAATGTAATTTTATATATATTATTTTTTAAATAACTAGTACTAATAGTATGGTCTGTCGTTTTGAAACTGTTTTGTTTACGAAGTATTTAAAACAAGAAATTGAAATTAGTTAAAAAGTCAAAGTTATAAATAAGTGTTCCGTGTTAAATTGTTTTTGAAAATCTAGTTTGTTCATAATTGTTTTATGTAATAAACTTTTTTAAATAAATTCGGACCTTCCCTTATCTGATCACCAGAATGGCTAAAGGGATTGTTCCCAGAGGTATTGTGAGGTGACACGTACAGGTATTCAAGCGATTTCCTGTCGGGCTTTAAAACTGTTATTACACAATTACATAAAACAAGTTCGTGCATAACTTCTTTTCTGGGGGTATTGATCAGTGTACACGGCCGATAACATGTAACTTCCATTTTGAATCTATCAGGTGTAATATACAACTTTGTATAGCGTATCCGATAGTGATATACTACTAGTCATTGCTAAACTCATACGCTTGTTTATAAATAACATTTTTGGTGTAAAGAATGATATTTATGAAAATTTAAATAATTAAAAAAAAAAAGATTTGATGAAATAAAAATCTATTTACACATTTTCAAAATAATACTAGTCATTGCTAAACTCATACGCTTGTTTATAAATAACATTTTTGGTGTAAAGAATGATATTTATGAAAATTTAAATAATTAAAAAAAAAAAGATTTGATGAAATAAAAATCTATTTACACATTTTCCAAGTGTAAATTGGGGAAAATGTAAGTATATACTCGTTGTCAATAATTATGGACATTTTGAAACATACAAATATTGATTTAACAAAATGTGCGGCACTTATCGATCATTGGTTTATACGCCTAGATGGAAGGTTTAATACGGAACTATGGATAGTCGCAATATAGAACTAATATCATACAAGTATATTGGATATACGAGAGAAACATCCAGAACCAATCTGATTTAAATACAGGTCGATATCTAACTTGCTTTGGTTCATCGAAGCTATAGACATAGTAAAATCACAGATTTATATTTCAATAAGATTATTTCGAACAGTTTAAGAAATTCGTCATCATCACATTTTCCTAGTCCGACATGCATGTTATATATATATGCCACTGGACGTGCACTAATGATACCCAAAAGCCTATTTGAAGAAATAAAGAAACTTCACTCCGGATAGACTGATGGTAGTTGTATTAACGTCTGGTCAGCTAGAGGGTTGATTTATTTATTTAGTTAGCTTGTAGGGGATTTAACCACTCTTAATATTGCACTTATGCATTAGATATTAAATGACAGTACCGGTAATATAAGAGAAAATATAAATACGAAAAGTCGCATATCTGATAGAAAAGGACTCACCATGAACTATAGGATTGTACGTACGATTGTCATTCTTAATCGCATAACGGACAGTCATTTAAATGCATGCATGTACGCTGTGATAAAAAGGGGTGTCGCAGTTGCAAAGTATTCGTCATAAATCTATTTCAAGGTTATTATTTCCTGTTATTTTTATAAGTTAACGCAGAGACATGTATACACTAGATCTCTATTTAACGACAAGCAACTATATAAATATCTGAATCTGATGTGACTTACCGTTCATCTCTTTCTTTTTTCTCATTTTATTTTTATTTTTGCAGGAATATACACATTGTAAGATATACTGTTCCTTGATTTTGGGGGGGGGGGACATTTCCGGGTATAACAGAGCTACTTGTATATTACCTGAATGTGGTTAGGTGACGTCCCATGAGGTCTTACGTATACATGTTCATATTTATAATGGTTTCTGATATAACAATTAGGTTTTATAACATTCACATTTCTGCATGTTCTGTATACCAAATTCGTATCTTTTTTTCAGACCGAATGAGGTTTTCCAGGATCAAATTCATTTCGGGATTTTTTTTTATTTCTTTGTATTAAATCTCAGAAATTTACAGAATATACTGCTTGTCCGCTTTAGGAGTTTTTTTGTCAGTTTAAACAGACGTATATATGTCTCTGGTTTAGAGTGGGGTTATGAATGAATGATAAGTCTTACAAAGGTACAAGATATCAAGCACATTGAAAATTGATTTCGACGTTCTGTCTCCATTTAAAAAAGGAAAGTTGACGTTAGATTGATTCTGTTAATTTTTTTAAACACCGTTGGTCAAATAGCTTAAGAATTATATAAATACGTTGTGAGATTTATAATATTTTAATAAGGGCATTCCTGATTAGGTAAATGAAGATCGCTTTGGACGACAAAACTATATTTTTGTAACTGATAATTTTCTCTGCACATTTAAATATTCAAGGTTACCGATGATAATTTAAAATAGTACTGTTTTGATTTATACGCTCGTTTTCATGGGCCATTTATAATATTTATATAATTATTTTATTAAAAGTGATTCAGAATTTCGATGTTACAATAAAATACTCACCTATTTATTTAAAAACTGAGCAAATGCAAAATGTTAAAAAAATATATATATAATTAAGGTATTTTGCCACCATATTCCTCCCTTAATAATTAAAAAAAATCTGTCTCATACCTGCAACGGTGAACCCTTGAGGACAAACACCACTCTAGTGAAGATCAAAAGATTAAAATTACATAATGCTAATCTTTTAATTACCGTGAATTTAACCACGCCTTTACCAGGTGGTGTCAGCATAATACACATGCATTGTATTTACACAGTACTAGACTGAAGCAATGATTTGTATAGTAAGACAAATCCTCGACTGAAGTAATAGGGGAGAATACAAACGTGAATTTCTATTATACTATCAGTTATATATGTTGTTAAAAATATCTGTCGAAAAAAAAATCATAAAAAAATTCTATTGTATGATTTGCTTTTATTACTATAATCATATCAGAAATCCTTAAAATATAAATCGTAAATTTTAATTTAAAAAAATACACGGCTGATCACTTTTCTTTCTGAATTGTTAGTTGGTTAATAGCTACACCAAAAGTCGTTGATGCGCTTTAAATCGCGTTATTAGATGATTAACGAACAAGACTTTAAATGAGATTAATCCACTCCCGGCATGCAAAAAGACTTAAACTACGTCACATAAGTCAGGAAGTTTGAATAAATAGAATTAATAATTCCCAATTTTCTTCTTTACTAGTTTTCATATCCAGATAAATCTTGGTGGATATGTTTTTAATGGTATTATGAACATAATAAGATGATAAGTAAAAAATCGCGAATTTTCCCTTTAAGTATGATGTATGTCTGAGCAAAGGCTTTGAAGTGATGTAGACAAGCTTTAATAACACCCTTTAGTTATTACAGGCATATTTTTTTCTGTAATAACATAGGTGTACTATGCATGATTGGCAAACTATGAACTATTATATCTTTCTATAGTTTAGTATACATAAAGACAATAAAAATATCAATAGAACTTGTATACATTCTAACAAAACAAATGATGTATATTGGCCCATTGAAACATGTAACATACATATGTTATCACAGTTCTTTGATTTTTTAGTCCACAATAACAAATGTATGTTATTTTTCTCTAATAACCCTATGAAGTTATATCCCTGACTGACTAAGATTTAAGTGACTATTAAAATCATAATTATGATAAATCTAATACTTTTGACACTCTGTTCTATTTTTTTAGAAAAGACCTATCAAACACATGGAAATGGTCTTGTAACATCTCTGCCAAGTATATTTTTATTCTGCGCAGCAGTGATTCCCAAGAAAAATACTGAATTTGAAAAGCAAAATGAACTAATTCAAGGTTCTAAATGAAGCTCACATGACAAATGAGATAAACATCAAATGTCTTATTTGCAATACATTACGTCCTATTTGAATACAAATGAAGAAAAAATAAACTACATATACAGTGTAGCAACGATCTTAACACTTTGCAATTGAAACAAATTTAAACACACATTATTATCTTAAAAGATTGCGCAAACAAAAAGTGTAGACCATTTCTTATTATGGACAGTAAGAATCTTAACACTCATGTCTAAGCTAGTCAGGAAAATTTCAGACACCAAACATATAGACTTCACTTAGAGGTTATTTAAAGCTAGACATACTTTATAGGAACCCTTATTTTGTTGAAGCCCACATCTTGACCTGAAAGGTCTTTTGGTTTTGTGTGTCAATGTGTTGCCGACTCGTTGACCTAAACCTTTACTCATATATTTCTAGGAAGGGATAAAATAAAAAATAACTTACCTGTAATAAAGTATTTAAGTAAGGCAATGCTTCCAGTGGTTTATTGAGATTGTTGACTAACATCAATGCTAAATTAAATAAAGCACTTCTAAATGTAGGCTCATACTGAAAATAGAAATTTTGATTTAAGTTTTATAATATATCATATATATAATAGGTTTTACAGTATAGCAAGGTAATTGTAAACAAAATGTATTTTGCAATTTTATTATTAAATGTTGATTTATTGTTAATCCGATAATATCCTCTTTTGAAAATTGGATACTTACATGACATTTTGTCAAATCTTGATGCTCATAGAATTTTGAAACTGGTAATTTTACATATAATTTTTAATAGTTCTTTAATAACAATTGAAAAAAATCAGAAAATTGAAATCATTGATATCATTCAAATAATCTGCTGAGTAACTTTTGAGATGTAATAAGTAACTTTTCCTTGATAGGATGTGGGTGCCACTAGTGGAGCAGGATCTGCTTATCCTTCAGGACGCCTGAGATCACCCTCAGTTTTTAGGAGGGTTCATGTTGCTCAGTTTTTAGTTTTCTACGTAGTGTTTTATGTACTGTTGTTTGTCTTTTTGTCGTTTTTTGTTTTTATGCCATGAAAGTTTACATCGATTTATGAGTTTGAATATCCCTTTGGTATCTTTCACCGCTCTTAAAAATGAAAAGAACTAAAAAATGCAATCCTAAACCAATGTAAAAAGATGTAAAACTCAAAACTGTTTTTCAATATAGTCTTATTATTATACCTGTAGACATTTCTTAATATGTTTTTCAGCAGATACGTAATCTTTCCTGTCCATATCTAACATTCCCATTGTAAAGTAAATCTTTGGGTCATTTGGATTTTTCTTCTCTAGATGTTGTAACCTGCAAATTAGAGATACCTTTAAATAAATGCTGGAATTTAAAATTTTCTATTCTTGTATCAAGGTGCAATGTCTGTGGTTTTTTTTAAAATAAAAAATGTCCTCTTGCATTGGTAATGAACATTGTGGAGAGTTGTCTCATTGACAATCATACAACATCTTCTTATTTTCATACTTATCTACTGTCTGCTCTGAAACCAAGAGTTAAATGACCAGCAATGTTAAGGAAAACATTTCGTATCTGATCCATGCATTTGCTTTCTCAGTGATTATCTCCCTTAATTTAGAAGAAATAGCAAGGAAGGGACAATTGGCTCAGTGTCATAACCTATGTTCCCGCTGACTGGATATATGAGTTGTTTTTTTGTTTTTTTTATTTTTTGTCTTGCTGAGTTCCTCTATCCTTGATGTATACACCACATCATCTTTTATTATTGTTTATAATCCAGCTTTGCACATTAGTATAGAAGAAGACATATTCATGTTTCATCAGTATGCTCACTATATATGTTCCCGTCAAAATTCATGCCTATAGTTGAAATACAAATACAAGCATTCTACTTTTCTATAACTTTTTTATGTATAAAACTAATCCATTAAAATAGGTTTCCTTTATTTTCTAAACATTTCAATAGTAGGCATACTAAACAACTCATCAATTAACCAAACTTTAATAGACATCATAAAATATATAAGACTTGTAACCTGTTTATAGATTAATTATAGGTTTTGTCATTGTTGAAGGCAGTATGGTGACCTATAGTTGCTAACATTTAAGTTTTTGGGTCTCGGGTCAATAGTAGTGCCAATCATACCACAGCTCCTTGTTCTATATACATTGTAGGTTTAACCATACCTCCTTTCAAGTTCTGGCCAATCATTAACATTTCCATGTTCCTGTATCATGATGGCTGAATTATACAAAGATTGCTGAAAGCAAATCATAAAGAGGGGAATTATTTTGTTCAATACAGAAAATGGTCCAACAATTGACAAACTGAAATAAAAAACATACCTTATAATTACCTAACATTATAAATTTTTTACACACACAAAAATAATTTCGTGATAACATTTGTTTTCTTTCCCCTTCCATGAAAAAAACCTTCTGATTGTTTTTTAAGTTACTGTGGAAATTGTGAACTATTCTTCCTCAAATATGTTTGCTACTAACATTTTCGACTATAATTTAATTCAAAGACAAGCGTGAACTTATGCCTGGTAAAATTTCAATGGCATAGAATCCATGAAGTAGATACATGTGGTATACCAGGTTTTTATGATTAAACACATTAAAGAAAGATACTCTAGATTACCATTTTATTTCTAAATATGTTGAACTAATGATTTCTTTTAGTTTCTTAGTAATTGATTTACAGTGAAATTTTACTTACTGTTGTAGGCTTAAGTAGGATCTCTTTTTCAAAAATGTTCAAATGAATCTAACTATATTTTAAAATATTTCTTTGAGCATTCTATATATTTCGACTTGTTTTTTTTTGGTTTTTTTGAGAATATTCAAGATAAGAAGTTAATTTTTATATAGTCAGATTTACTTCTTAAAGTTGTATATATGAAAAATTATGAAAATCCAAGAGATCGTCCATGTCCATCCAAAGTTTTATTTAGCTCTGGATGTAAGTCTTAAAAAGGGGAGGCAAATCTGGACATTCTATAATTTGTTGATTCAAATATCACTTTGGTACTGAATAATTAAGCAAGCTTTATTGTTGATCTTTGCATTTATATCTTAAAAGGGGAGGCAAATCTGGACATTCTATAATTTGATGATTCAAATATTACTTTGATACTGGACAATTAAGCAAGCTTTATTGTTGATCCTTGCATTTAGATCTTTAAAGAAGGGATATAAATCTGCACATTCCATAATTTAATTTGTTGATTCAAATATTTCTTTGGTACTGGACAACTGGTATTGTTGATCCTTTGATTTAGAACTTAAAAGGGGAGACCAATCTAGACATTTCAAAATATTGTTGATTTTCAAACAAACTACATATCTTAAAGCAACATTTGCAAATACTCACCCAATGATCTGGGTCATGTTGCAAAGCAGTTTCAAAATATATTCTTGCTGCATTTGGGTCTTTCAATTCCAAACTCACAACACCAAGCTACAAATATAACCATAAATCAAAGAGATATTAATGCTGTAAGCAAGCCAATCGGACATGACATAAAAAAAAAGCAGCATATCCATATATATAAATGATTACAATTAGTAATATCTTTACAAATTATTTATTCTAAGCACTTTTTGTGCTGAAAATGATATATGACTTAGTTAAAAAGTGATTTGATTTTTTTATTTTAGGGCAAATCACATGTGGAAAGCTGCTTGTAAATTATATAAAATGGTATTTGAAGTAAAATCAAAATGGAGATAAGAGCTGGCTCTCAATAATATTTGATCTGGAGTTTAAAACATAATAAATTGCTGTAAATTAAAAAAAAAAATATACTTTAACTTTTGACTCTATCATGAAACCTACATTGTAATAGACATCAGCATTATCTGGTTCATATTTCAGAGCTGTTTTGTAGATCTCTATTGCTTCTTTCATTCTGAAACATAATATATATTTAAGGAATGACTGTAATATTTTTTCTGTCTATGAACAAATAACATAAAAAATGTGGTGCACACTGAATAACCCGCGTAGCGGGTTATTTTAAAGTGTGCACCACATTTTTTATGTTATTTCGAATAGACAGAAAAAATATTACAGTCAAATTAAAATTTAATAATTCCATTTTAAAATCCATTTTAAACCGGAGTAAACCAGGAAAAAACGTTGATGACTTCACGGTCACATAACAAAATTATGTCTATGAGCTGATAAACAAAACAACGTCAGCCAATCAGAAGACGCGTTACATCCAAAAATAAATTATATATATATACAGTGAATTCTAAAATAAAAGATATACTGTCAATTCTGAAATAAAAGATAACAGTAGAATCTGAAATTTTTACCAAATGTGTATTTAGTAAGTTTGAGGAAGCTCTGATATGTAGTTCCTTGAAAAAAAGTGAATAGGAATTTCACGAAACAGACTGACGGACAGAAAGACAGAGATAAACCAGTTTACCCAACCCTCTTTGCAGCTGTGATCAGTTTCAAAAAAATTCTTACGACTTAAGTTGATCATAAGTCATGAAGAAAGCAGTATATGTACGATCAAATTTAGTAGTAAGACGTTTTGTGAAACTGATCACTGGAATATAACAAATTCACAATAGGTGTAGCAATATCTATCTAAAAAAGTATAGCTGTAACAAACATAAATTATCTTTTATACAGCAGGCAAAGCGTTGATAAAGAGTTGGATACTAATAACCCTGCCACTCACTTTCACATGGTCATGTCTGTAAATCTAAACGACTGTTGTCAAGATGGGATGTTTGTCTTCCAGTTTAATCTGTTTCTCATATTTTTGTTGTTAACCAAGTTATCTTAAACGTAATAGACCATATAACTAACCCACTACACTTTCAGGGTCATAAATAGAAACCAAACATAATTTTTTCATCACCTAATATAAACTATCTATACTATGATCCTTAGTTAAGCTGATGTAAATGTTTCTGTGGATTCATCTATTTTGAATGGTACCAATTTTCCTGGATGAAGGAAACATTGTATTTTCGTGGATATCTGATTTCTTGGTTTTGACAAAGTCAGCATAAAAGCCTATATACAATTTGTACTTCGTAGAACATTTAAATTTCGTGGTTCACTTGTATCCATGAACTCCATGAAAATTGGTATCCCACGACAAATAATGAATCCACAGTATAACTCTTAAATCCAGAAAAGTAAACATACCTGCCTAACTTGACCATGATATCACCTCTGTTGATATATCCCTGTACGTAATCAGGTCTCATACTGACCGCTGTCTGTAACATCTAGAAGATAAAAACAATATGATTAATATTCCTCATAAACTACAAAGTATTTCTTTGTATAAGTAAGAGGAATAGGGACCCTTTAAACAAAGTGGTTATTACAGTATCATAATGAACAATTTTTTCCATGTGAATTGTTATTGTAATGATTTTGTGAATTGTGTATAGAGATGAATAATTATATACAAACTCCTGTTTATAAATTTGGAAAAGTAATTTTGATGAAATCTGAGAATCAGTAGAGAAATTGTTGTGAATGATAAAATTTGCGATTTTGTTTAAGAGTTGATGAATAATATTATCAATGGGGTAAAGTGGTGGAATCTGTTTCTCTGACTATTTAATGCTTATTTCTGAGTATAGTATATTGACCATAATTGGGAAGAAATCATGCATATATCACACACAACAATTCAATTGGTTAGAAATGGTTAAATGTACAAAGTATAAGAAGAAATGGTTAAATGTACAAAGAATAGGAAAAAAGACAGTAATCCAGCTATTTAATAAAATTGAAAATGGAAATGGGGAATATGTCAAAGAGACAACAACCCGACCAAAGAGCAGAAAACAGCAGAAGGCCACCAATGGGTCTTCAATGCAGTGAGAAAATCCCCCACCCGGAGGTGGTCCTCAGCTGGCCCCTAAATAAAATTGTGTGCTAATTCAGTGAAAATGGACGTCACACTAAACTCCAAAACATATAAATAAACTAAAATTAAAAAACATACTAGACTAACAAAGGCCAGAGGCTCCTGACTTGGGACAGGCGCAAAAATGCGGCGGAGTTAAACATGTTTTGTGAGATCTCAACCCTCCCCCTATACCTCTAGCCAATGTAGAATAAAGAAACACATAGCAATACGCACAGTAAAACTCAGTTTAAAAGAAGTCCGAGTCTGATGTCAGAATAGGTAACAAAAGAAACTAAGCAAAATGACAATGATACATAAATGAACAAAGGACTACTAGCAGTTACTGACATGCCAGCTTCAGACCTCAATTAAACTGATTGAAAGATTATGTCTTCATCATATGAAAATCATGTACAGTCCCTCCGGTTAAGGGTTTAGTATCATACCATCATAAAATATATGAGAAAATAACCCGTATCATGCCAACAACTGGTTTTAGAATAAATATGCAATGTAAAGAATATTACCATAAAATATTGGATGTGAAATACCTGAACGTATAAGATGTCTGCATGTTGATTTATATTTACGAATGATGTCCTTGTAACGATGATAAAATTTAGTAAATGTTTTGACTAGTTTGTGATATCGAAAACCCTGGTGTAATAATTTTTCAGTAATGCAGAGATTTCTTTCAATGAAATCAAAAACGTTGTTACATACACGAGCGAATCGAACAAGTTGAGATATATAAACACCATAAGATGGTGACGAGGGAATGTCACCATCTAAAAATGGATAATTAACAATAGGAAATGAAAAATCACCTCTTTTATCATAAATTTTGGTATTAAGTTTTCGTTAACGATAAAGATATCAAGATCCAGGAAAGGGCAGTGTTGATTGTTAGTTTAATCTTGGTAAGAAAAGTCTGCAAAAGCAACTTTAATATTAATGTATGGGAAAAAATAATCACAGAAAACACTTTTTTAACAGGATCACTTTGGTATAGAAAACTAATCTTCAAACAATCAATCTTTTATAAAAAGTTCTTCATCATTCCTAAATATAGCTACACTTAAAAATACCTTTTCACTGTTGTAAATGATATAAGTTTTCAATATCTGTTTACCTTATCAGCTTCATGAAGTCTTGAATCATTTTTCACCATTAATGTAGCTAAGTTAAGGTAAACATTTAGATGGTTAGGTGCTATTCTGGCTGTATAACTTCTTCCTGAAAAATTGTGAGAATATTCTTACTTAATGATCAGGAGTCAGTTTCACAAAAATACTTACGACTAAGATTGATCATAAGTATATTGAATTGTTCATGACTTACCATCAATCTTAGTCTTAAGTTTTTTTGTGAAACAGACTACAGAATATTTGAAAGTTCAAAAAAAAATTAAAGTAAAATGAAAATTTGAAGAGAAATGTAAAATTATTTATATTAACTGTCATTTCATTTCAGGTTCACCATTTATATGATGATATGATATATAACTGACATTTGTGTTAGAAAGAAAAAAATCACTACCCTGATGGAAAAATTCCTTTCAAAACATGAAAAAATTCCTATTACAACATGGCATAATTCCTATTAAAACATGGCAAAATGTCTATTAAAAATGGCAAAATTCCTATTAAAACACCACAGACACTTGTCTCTGAATTTTTTTTGCCTATATACTTTAATCATTTAATATAACACAAGGTACTTAACTGGTGTATTTGAGAAATGTTACCCAGTCATGAACTTCCATTATATTTTGATTTTGCGGTTTTCTGTCCCACTGAAACTTGTTATTCAATAAATCTACATAGAATTATCTACAAAATGGTGAATAACACTCATATTTCTATTATTGGAATCATTTGTAGTACATGTAAAAGGCCTTCCAACTATGTCAACCATATTATTTCGTCTTCTCACAGCCCTTTGGAAGTTCGTGACTGGGTGACATTTCTCAAATATACGAGTTAAGTACCTTGTGTTATATTAAAAGTATATAGGTAAAAATTTTCAGAGACAAGTGCCTGTGTAAAACATGGCATAATTGCTATTAAAACATAGCTAAATACCTATTAAAACAAAACTTAAAAAATGTTCACATAATTATACATAAAGCTTATTATTCAATAATAACATAAGCATATGTTTCTAGTAAGTTTAAATACAATTACTGTAAATTCTGAAATTTTGTGTGCACTGATTATTGCAAATATGTAAGAATGGAAAAACATTTTCAAACTTGACATAGATATTGCCAAAAATGAAATTTTCATAAAAAAAAATCAAGAAATTTAGTTATGAAAGCACATACAATGAGAGACTCCAAGTATTTCTGTCCCCAACCTCAAAGTAGTGGGAATGGAACATTTTCCAATAGGGTAGAGTACTTGAGACTAAGAACAATAACTCTTTGCAAAATCAAACAAAGGGACATAACTTATGAAGAATAACTACATTTTTGATACATTTGTAGTATTACCTGGTATAATAGGAGGGAACAAATGTAAAGCTTTCATATAAGCTTCCTCTGCTTCAGTACTCATGTTAGTGTTACCTGGTATAATAGGAGGGAACAAATGTAAAGCTTTCATATAAGCTTCTTCTGCTTCAGTACTCATGTTAGTGTTACCTGGTATAATAGGAGGGAACAAATGTAAAGCTTTCATATAAGCTTCTTCTGCTTCAGTACTCATGTTAGTGTTACCTGGTATAATAGGAGGGAACAAATGTAAAGCTTTCATATAAGCTTCCTCTGATTCAGTACTCATGTTAGTGTTACCTGGTATAATAGGAGGGAACAAATGTAAAGCTTTCATATAAGCTTCTTCTGCTTCAGTACTCATGTTCATGTTGTTGTAAGTTCTTCCAACATTTATATGTGCTCCAATATCATCTGGTTGTACACTGAATAAAAAAAAACAGGAAACATTTTTATAAGCTTGCTGTTGATGCAAGATCTTTGTCAGTGTCAGTTAAATTTATTCACAACTTCTCAAGATCTATGGGCCTCATTGACCAAGTGGTCTAAGTAGTCAACTACTGAATCACTAGCATGTCAGCTCTGAGGTTGAGAGTTTGAACCCCGCACAGGGCAGGTGCACTCGACTCCTATCTCAATTGACTAGGATTGCCAGTTTTCCTGCTGTAGGTTGGTAGTTTTCTCTGGGAACTCTGCCTTCTTCTACCAACAAAAACTGACAGCCATGATATAGCCAATAGTGATGAAAGCTTGTCAAATAATCAATCAATCTCAAGATCTAGGGTTATTTAAAGCTCAACATTCCGTATAAATTCTTGTCTACATGTATATATGTTGCCCTTTGTATGTCTCCCGATTTACATATACCATCAATTTTTTATTCACATTTTAAGCTATCGAAAATAAGTAAGAATGAAAAGAATAAGGAGGAAAGCACACCATGAAAAAATGAAGATGGACAAATAAGTACCAGATATCTTAGGTCATTTTCAGAAGCTTAAAATCAATGTTGAGTTGAATATAAAAGAGAAGTTAACCCCAAAGGTTGAATTAGATGTAACTAGTTACCTGGCTAGTTAATACTTTGTTACAAAATATCTACAACTAGTATGCAATGTAAAATTCGATGTAACACATTTTTGACATGCATTTTTAAATCAGTGTTGTTCTAATAACAGAAAATAATGATGCATTAAGTATGCTTTCGCTTGAATAAAATTCACACCCACAATAAATTAAACAACAGTTGTATTTTAGGCTTCCAATATGTTTTTAGTTTCTTGACCTTTTCCAATAAAACTTAATGTTTTCATTCTTTTACAGTCTATTGCAATCAAAGTCTCAATTGTCAACTTTTGTAAATTTCCATAATATTTTATCAGATTTTGACAGCTTTAAGTTTGGATATGTATTTCACAATGACCTCATTAACTTGTGCATAATGTACACTGAAATACATTTGAAAATTTACTAATCATGTACAACATGTAGAAAGTGATCCAGCAACTCATTTCACAAAAAATTTTACAAGAAAAATACTTGTAAGTCATGAACATTTCAGTTTAACTTACGATCAATGTAAGTCGTATTATTTTTTGTGAAAAGAGCCCAAAGTTTTTCTATAGCGATTCATATTTAAGTGTGTACTTTGTTCATTTTTTTCATTTACATACCTAACTGCTTTCTGGAAATATTCTAAAGCTTCTGACCAATTCTGGTCTTTCTCTAGAGCATGTCCTACATTGTTAAATAACTTGGCATTCTGCTGATTCACCTTTAAAGCTGATCTGAATAGAGAATATTCTGATTTCCTGCAAAACATGATAACTCCAATGTTGTATATAATCTTGAATTTCATTAGTCAATGCCATGCATGAATACATAAAGGTTAAACATCAATATATTCTATTTAGTGACAAGATTAATTCATATTTAGATAACATATTTTTGTAAATGCATATCTGCTTTTTTATGAAACTAAATCTGTTAAAGCATTGGATTGCAATTATAAGGTAATAAACAATTAATATGTAAACTTGGTCTTTCACTCCCAAAATAAATCAAGATGTATATATAAAATTTTGTCATTTTTTAAAATAAAATAGAGTACTAAAGTTTAAATTTAGGTGTTCCCTTTTTAAGATAGGGTCGACTTGTGATAAATGTAAAGTTTATTCTGGCACAACAGCTTGATTTCAACAGATATCTCTTTAATATAAGATTTAGTTTAGATTTAGACAAATTTCATTGTAAAACAAAGTATCAATTAACTGTTGTATTATTGGGTTTAAAAAGTGTAAAATTGTGATACCTAGGATCGCATACAAAGTTTTATAAGTAAAAAATATTCTTCATCATCTAGCATTGAGGAATATTCCATTAAAATGGATGTATGTGGGAAGAAAGGTACTTCCAAAATCCCCCCCGACAACTAACATTCTAACGTCTATGTGTTTTTGCACTAATCATATAAACAACCCATGACGATGGTCTAAAAATAAAATTTTCTTTCCTACACTCCCACATTCTTTTAAATGGAATAACCCTAACGAAAAACATCTATAGTAATTCTCACCAATCAAAATTTCTCATATAAGTCTTTGTTCCATGAGTCAATAATAGTATTCCCATGCATGCCCACAGAACAGCTTTTAATTCTCTGAAAAAAAGAATAAGATATAAAATGTTTGACATTACTTTACCAAAAATTACTGCATTTTTCCTGCAACATATATCTAATGTTTATTTAAAGTAAATAACAATAGAAGAAACACCTAAACTTTTTAATGATGTAACAAGGGCATACAAATATAAAAGTTTGCAAATTTGTAAGGTGAACAATGCATGGACAAATTACTTATTGGTTTTCAAACTGTATAGTCAAAGAGGTTCTTCAGTCATCTTTTGTTACCTGTTCTTTTATTTGATACAGTAATATTTTTTTTTAATTTTTAAGCCCATTTCAAATCCTATGAGCAATACAGCAAAAAACACCATATTTCTAATGACACCTTCCCTTCTTGAAAATTTCCACAAGCTCAAACCAATTGTAGACTTGTACATTGCCAGAATGATGAACAAATTAAAATGCGTATCATATATGGATTACAAATGTAATGTGAATTTCAAATTAGTTTTCATGAAGTTCTGCATCTCACTTTTATTTTGTTAAAAAAAATTTTAAAAATATACCTTTTATAATTCATTAAAATTTCAAATCCTAATGCCACTAAAGCACAGAATCCCATGCTTGGTGTGTATAAAATTCTCTCAGCAACCACAAATCCTACTGGGAAAAACAGGTTAGATGCTGGTATAAATGGTAAGATAATCATGGTCAGACACTGCAAATACAGAAAAATAATATTTTGAAACATGAAGATAGAAGTGAATGTGCATGAGACAAATATCCTAATATAAAATAATTAAGGAACTTTTAACAGAGGTATTTCTCGCAGGTACAATGTATAACCACCATTTTCTTCAGAAAATTCATGTACCAAGTCAGAAATATGACAGTTGCTTTCAGTTTGTTCCATCGGTCGATAAAGTTTGATTATGTTAGTTTTTATGGACTTCCCCTTTTTGAATAGACTTTGGAGTTCAGTATTATTGTTATACATTTTTCACATGTGTGGCATTATAACAAAACTTAAAAAGAGATATAGCTCTTAGAATGACTGCCATACTAATTTAGTTATTACATTATTTTAATAATAATAGTATTAAAATGGTTGCCATACTGTTGAGATTGCCATATAATCTAATTGAAGTATGATGGTACCATGACTTACTATGAAAAGAATATCAAATTTCAATACAGTAAAACCTGCCTTGACGGTAACCTCTGTTCAGCTGTCACCTGCTTGTTACGGTCACTTTCAGACTCTCTCAAATGTTCTCTCTGTATAATTTAATTCGTTTCAGCTGTCACCTGTCTAACGCATTCAGCGGTCACCTAATTTCCACACAAATCGTCGTTTTAACTTTTAATAGTAGTCATTTTAATGTTTTTAGCAACATGTTATCAGTATCTAAGTCAAAATGAAAGTCAAAACCCACTTCCAACTGAGAAACACGCAATAGAAGGTGAATTTGTAATTCCCAGTGTTCCACTCCTTTTAGTTTCGATTAAAAACCCTATCAACGACTTATTTCTCCACGAAAATATTAATATATTTTATTTTATTCTTCAAATTTACAGCTTCGGAATTGCCATTTTTCAATTCACTGCTTGCAAGTATGATAACTCTACCAATTGAAAACACTAATTTATTTTGCCTCAATCCCAGGCACAGGCGATGTAGGAATCATTTTTTTTTTAACCTCACTTAAAAGGTCATCTCTCTTGAGCAGTCACTTTTGATACTTCGCAAGTATGACTGCTTAATACAGGTTTGACGGTAATTGATTTCAAGGTAATAAATTTATGCTTCATGAAAATAAAACAATTTCATTTTCTAAAATAAGGTATTTTTCCTTTCTTTAAATAAATATTTACCATTATAACAGCTCTGTTCCTATCATTCTGTTGACTCAGCATATACACAACAAATCTAGCCAATATTGCATAGAACAACAACGTAATTAGGTTACGGTGATCTAATAAAGAATTAATGACAGGTATAGTTCCCATTGTCCAATCACAGCATAGGTGCGAGGGGTTTACCAGTATCCAAGTGTTGACAGGTAACAAGTAGTTGTAAGTCATATGCTTGGTAGGAAAGGGCTCCATGGATGCTGGATTATCAAATCTGTAAAGTATAAAACAAGTTTTACAATTATTGTGATCTTGATAATCGTAATTAAACAATTACCCGGTATATCCAGATTGCATATCTGTGTCAAAAATTACCATGGATCTGATATGTTCCTCTTATTATATCAATAATCTTGTTCTCCTTGCCTTGCTTATGATGCAACTACATTTTTACTTCCTATGAGCAAAAATATGTATGCCATTAGAAAATCAGAAAGTTTTTACCCTTCCAGAGCACAGGAATTCTACAATCTTAAGCTTTCTATGTAGTGTTTTGTGGTCTGTTCAAGTTTTTATTTTGCTTAGGCAATAGCGTGGTTGGGTGTTTGTTTATTTATGGTTTTTTTATTGCCCCTTTGATGTCTAATGTTAACTGCAGAAGATACAAAGTATCAGTAAAATATGGACAAGTGAAAAAAGTCTACCTTTTCCTATGAATAAGGTACTGTCTTTTGATCCCAAAAAAAGTTGTCCAAGTTTCTTAAAATTCCATAATGTTTGTACAAAGGTATTGATGTCTTTAAAGACTAGAAACTTGATGCTTTCAAAATTCCTACCTTTCTAATTAAGGTTAACAAGCATTATAGCAGTACTTTTTAATATATAAGAGACATTTGATTTACCTAGTAAATATGGGAAGTTGAGCTCCCATGACTTTGATTCTGGCCACCATTAAAAACATTGTTGTACCAACAAGGAAAACACATCTTATTACAGAGTCTTTAAACCAAGATGGTAAAACTGGCTTTCCTTTGAAAGTACTTATAATTATCTGCAGACATTCTGTAAATGTTGCCTGAAATCAATGAAACACATTTGATTAAACAGTCAGAGATATAACTCTATAGGGTTATTACAGAAAATAACTTGCGTGTGTTATTACAGATACTTTCATGAGTTGTCTACTCTTTATTCCTTAAATTTTCTAAATCTGTAATAACATATGTTTGTTATTTGTAAAATTATTTCATTTATAGTGGCCTCTAGGGATCTCTTGAGACTTTGCGCAGAAACTAAATGCATAGCCTTGATAACTAATTTTTTAATTAAATCAATACATGTTTGATTAACCATGGTAAATCCATGAGACAAGGCTATTAAGGGATAAACTTAGCTATGATAACAAGGCTCAGTTATTAAAGGAATGTAACTTATCATATAAGACACTTGGGAATTACTGAGAAACTTGCGCAGAACCTCATTACATGCTCTGGTCATTATTTCTTACAATAAATTAAAATACATTGTAATTAAGCATGATGTATGTCTGAGCAAATGCTTTGAAGTGATATAGAGAAGCTGTGATAACACCCTTTAGTTATTACAGGCATATTTTTTCTGTAATAACATATCGGTGTACTATGCAAAATTGGCAAACTATGAACTGTTATATCTTTCAATAGTTAAGTATACATATAGACAAAAGTAATATCAATAGAACTTTTAAACATTTTAACTAAACTAATGATGTATATTGTCCCTTTGAAACATATAACATACATAAGTTATCACAGTTCTTTGATTTTTTAGTCCACAATAACAAATGTATGTTATTTTTCTGTAATAACCCTATAGAGTTATATCCCTGACTGTTAAATGAGCATTGTGTCAAAGCTTCGATAACATCATGGGTGTAATGTACATAGGTGCCAAAATCTGAAAAATAAAAATTTTGTAAAGGAATAAATAAAGTATTGGGGAACAAATAACAAAATCTGGAAATCCAGTTTATTCCTGAAAAGTTTATTTTATGCATGTTAAAGCAGGATAAGGTATTTTATCAATGTAAATAACTTTAAGAAAAAATCTAACAGAATCTGGTAAGTGTTATCTTTGGGAGCCTCCAATTTTTTTTATTTGAAAAGTTGCTCTCTAAAGACCAGTCTCCTGCTAATGCAAGTACAATTAAATCTCCAAATTCAGGAGGTAATATTTTTCTCCCTTTTTCATCAGTTTTTTTTATTATATGTAGCGGTCTTCTGAGAAAAAATTTAATGCAAATGAATATTTTTTTTGTAATGTGACTAGTTACCTGACAAGTTGTTTTAGTGATCGATTAATTGATGAGTGGATTATTTTTTATGCTTTATGAAATAAGAAGGTATGTATAAACAACTTTCACTGACAAGTTAAAGGTTGGTTGTTAAGTTACAAATTACTTACCCTTTGTACAATAAAAACTTCATATACACAACACACTCCAATCACTGTAATGCCTATTTCTTTACACAACATTGCTACGGTAACCAAAATAACTGTATATATTAGTGGTGGCCAAACTGAAAAAAAAAATCAAAACCATGCAAGATTTGATTTATTATGCTAATTTCCATAAAAGGTGGTAACAAATACAAAAACAAGAATGTGTCCATAGTACACGGATGCCCCACTCGCACTATCATTTTCTATATATGTTCAGTGGACCGTGAAATTGAGATCAAAGCTCTAATTTTGCATTAAAATTAAAAAGACCATATCATAGGGAACATGTGTACTAAGTTTCAAGTTGATTGGACTTCTCAACTTCATCAAAAACGACCCTGACCAAAAACTTTAACCTGAAACGGGACAGATGGATGGACAGACGAACGGTTGGACGAACGGGCGGACGGACGAACGAATGGACGCACAGACCGAAAAACATAATGCCCTTGTACTATTGTAGGTGGGGCTTTAAAAATAAAAACAATAAATGCTAAATGCATTTATCTATTATGGAAATTTCCTTAAAAGGAGGTATTTGCATGGAATTTTTAATATCCAGCATTCATTATTCATAAAAAATATGTTTTACAATCATTAAGAAAAGTAAGACTATATCAAAGGGGGGAAAAATTAAAAGCTATGAGTTAATGAAAGACGAACAACAACGTCGCCAAAATACAAAAGTCAAACAGTAGTCCACAGTATTCTTTAGTTAGTAGAGGAAAGTGCATACAGACATCACATTTCTTTTTTCCAATTTATTTGCACTGTGTATTATTTTATTTTAGTATCTAACATGAACATTTAGCCTTCTCTCTATTTTTATTCTCTGCTAGTTTATGTTTATCATGTTTATATAGATATAGGAAGATGTGGTATGAGTGCCAATGAGACAACTCTCCATCCAAGTTACAATTTATAAAGGTAAACCATTATAGGTCAAGGTACGGCCTTCAACAAGGAGCATTGGCTCACACCGAACAGCAAGCTATAAAGGGCCCCAAAAAAATTACTAGTGTAAAACCATTCAAACGGAAAAACCAACGGTCTAATCTATATAAAAACGAGAAACGAGAAACACGTATGAGCTACATAAACAGACGACAACTACTGTAATCAGATTCCTGACTTAGGACAGGTGCAAACATTTGCAGCGGGATTAAACGTTTTAATGGTACCAAACCTTCTCCCTTTTCTGAAACAATAGTATAACATCACAACATAGAAAAACACACTATAAAATATCAATTGGAAGGCTTAACTCAATCAAAAAACGTAAATTAACACACAATGAACGAATAAATTTGACCTGTGATAGGCAACATTCTCAACTCAATTCTAGTATGACAGTAATGCCACTTATGTGAGGGTTAAAAGTGCATTCTACACAATTTATGCCTTTAATTAAAAAAAGATAATAAATATTGAAAAAGATTTAATTAAAAAATTTCAATGAATTCTGGATATAGATATCATGGATAAAATTTAATGTAATTTGGGATTGTATCAAAACACATTTTTTAGGATTTATCTCCCAAAGTCATTTTTCAAGAAATAAAACATAGAAAAGGTTTTCATCAGTTGTTAACAATAAAGTATATAAATACATACTATTCATAAAGGAAGTAATATTTTTTCAAAAAAAAAAGTACCTATTCTTATGCAGACAGAAAAATACCAATGACAGTGAAGATTTACTGAACAAAAATCTATTGTTATTTGTATATACCTGTTTTTGATTTGTATCCTGTACATCTTGAGTAAGACCATAAAGCAGCTAAGAAAAATATAGAAGACAAACATTCAGCTCTGCCTACCACACCAGTTACCTGAAAAATATAGAAGACAAACATTCAGCCCTGCCTACAACTCCAGTTACCTGAAAAATATAGAAGACAAACATTCAGACCTGCCAACCACTCCAGTTACCTGAAAAATACAGAAGACAAACATTCAGCCCTGCCTACCACACCAGTTACCAGGAAAATATAGAAGACAAACATTCACCCCTGCCAACCACTCCAGTTACCTGAAAAATATAGAAGACAAACATTCACCCCTGCCAACCACTCCAGTTACCTGAAAAATATAGAAGACAAACATTCAGCCCTGCCAACCACTCCAGTTACCTGCAAAAAATATAGAAGACAAACATTCAGCCCTACCTACCACTCCAGTTACCTGAAAAATATAGACAAAATTCATCCATCTCTATCACATCAATTAAGGAAATGCTTTCATCTCTGTAAAGGCAACCAGATACCTTCCAAATATTTATTTATCACCTGATCATTTAATTTTTTGCTAATAGGAAAAACATGTAAGACATATTCTCAAATAAATAAGAGGAGATGTGGGGTATACCTCAATGAGACAGCAATCCAACAACAAAAAAAGATCTACAAGTAAACATTCTGCATTCTATTGTATTCTAACTTCCAGACAATTTTATTTTAAATGAATGCAATAGTTTTAACCGCATCTCTGATGCAATTATGATGCAAACACTTCTTAATTTTACAGGAATAAGTATGATTTTGCTGTCTGGTATAGCAAGTATATCGACATCGAGGAATGATTAATTGCCCAGTAATCAGAATATAATACATAGTCTCATAGAATGTATTGCTCAATCAGATTTAAATACAGATCCGGTGTCCATCCTTTGTACTTTTTAACATTTTCTGTTGGATCCACCTTGTCAGAAAGAGAACAATGAATAATCAACTTACAGCTTCTGTGTGAACTGGATGCACAGCAAACAGCAATGCTGCTAGAAAACTCGTAAATTCTTTCATAAAAAGAGTGCATATCCTGAATTAGAAGAAAAATTTAAACATAACAAACAGCTGTGTCAGCATGTAGCACAATGCACTTTAAATGTTATAAATAATACTGCAATTTGCATGAATGCAGATGAGGGTATACACACTTACGTTAATAAGCTTAAGACAGCAACACAGAATAAAACGAAAAGACATCAAGTTCTATAATCAATTAAAATAACAATTTTACAATACTAGTTATAATTTGTTTTGAAAAGAATAAATGATAAATTTATAAAACTGATCAATCTTGAAAATGTTGAAGCAAGTAAAATGCAATTACTGTGAAATAGCCATTTTTGTTGGAAACCAATTTTTCGTGGATATCATGGGTTAGGGAACAGGGAACCACAAATTTAAGTGTTCAACAAATCACAAATTTTCTTAGTAAAGGTATGTATGCATAAATTTTTAAAACCACAAAATCAAATATCCAAGAAAATGCAAGTTTACCTCAATCCACGAAAATTGGTACCCATGAAAATAAATGAATCAACAGTACCTCCCATGTTGAACTGGGATTACATGACTTTATGCACATGGACAAGTAATGTTCTCAAGTTCAACTGTTTAAAAATGTTTCATTAATATCCATCCAATATTTACAAGGGAGTTGTGCTTACAAAGCTCATAAATAGGCAGACAGACTTATGAATTTTGCTTTTTGTTAAAGACTGTACGATGAACTATATTGCTTACATCCACATCTGTTGGTCTCTAGTGGATAGTTTTCTCATTGCCAATCGTACCCCATCTCCTTGTTATCAAATACTTTCGCAGGGGGCCATGGGTATAATAAATTAATACATAGGAATCAAAAGGCTTATGATAACATTTGCTTTGAACATAATTTCTCTTTTTTAATACCAGTAACATGAAAATCGAAATTACAAAACAGATACTCACTTCATTAACACAATGCAAACAACAGCATGTAAGATGACGTTAATTAAATGGTATGACATTGGTTCAATTTCACTGATCATATAGTTCATACGGAAGGTCAGTACACATAATGGTCGATATGATTTGTGACTTTTCTCCTGTAAATAAAATTAAATTGTAAATTTGTCATGTTTATGACTTGTCACATAATAGTCTTGACTAAATACACTTGAGGAGCAGGTACTGCTTATCCTTCTAGATCACATCATGCATCCTAGTTCAACCCCAGTTTTGGTGCTCAATATTTAGTGTTCTGTCTGTGTATTGTTTTGTTGGTTGTTGGGGGTTTTTTTTGCCATGGCGTTGCCTGTAGTTTTTTTACCCAATTATTTTGATAATAACATTTTTATTTTTCCCCTTTTTTATTTGTGACTCTGACTAAATCAAGAAACTTAAAACATAGTGTGAACATACTGTAGATTCATATTTCTGTGAATGTATTCATTATCTCACGATTATTGTGAAAAATTTGACCAGATTTAGATTATATTAATTCAAACTTGCTACAATGTATCAAATTGTGATCACATTACTTATAAAAAGAAGATGTGGTATGAATGCCAATGAGACAACTCTACACAATAGACCAAGTGACACAGAAATTAACAACTATAGGTCACCGTACATCCTTCAACAATGAGCAAAGCCCATACCGCATAGTCAGCTATAAAAGCCCCCGAAATGACAAATGTAAAACAATTCAAATGAGAAAACTAACTTGTATATATTGTTGTTTTTGTTTGTATGTCTCATTATTTTCTGGAAATGAGTCCAATGTTGCTTGTTAATGTGGTCAGTACATGTAGTACTGTCCAGTATTCATGGTTGTTTCTGTTATTCTTTGTATGTATTATGAGGGGCCTGATGGGGGGTCTCATCACGATTCACGAGTTGATTTTTTTGTCAATCACGATTCACAGAAAATAAATTTCCATGATCACGGATCACGAAAATATAAAAAAAAAAAAATCTGTAGAAAAATGGATCACGATAGCGAAAATGCGCTGATCACGAAGAACGAAAATAACCCATCAGGCCCCTCTATTATTGTAAACATTCATTTGTAATATAATCGCTTTTCTGATCTAAATGAAATCTAAAGTACTAAAGGGGTAATAAATTAAAGGTATGTTTCATTTAATAAATATTATAGTTTTTATTTTTAAGTTCATACCATATGCATAGGTGTACCCCAGAAATCATTCCAAAACAGGTTGATAACAGGAACTCTAGGTTTCAGATCTTTGTTTTCAACAATGGCTGACATGTCATCAAAAACAAAACCACAGTCCAAAGCATTGTGATAACAAACTGCTACAACTGCACAAAGAATTGCTGAATACACGTTGAATTTTTCCATCTGTAAAAAAAATATGAAAATTGTTCAGCTTGTTTAACCTTACCAAGTATATCAAAGACATATTTTTTTTATTAAATTGGTTAGTTCACATTTTTGAAGGTCATTGTACAATAGAGGTAAGGGGAGGGTTGGGCACCTGCTTACATCATTAACAACAACGTTAACACATTCTGTCAGGTCCCTGTAATTCAGTGGTTGTCATTTGCTGCTGTATATCATACTTGTTTTCTGTTTGTTGTTTTGTACATTAATCAGGCTGTTTGTTTTCTAGTTTGAATTATTGTTTTATATTTGTTATTTCTGTGCCTTAAGGGTAAGGGTATTGCTTATTGTTGAAGGCCGTACAGTGACCTATATAGTTGCTAATGTCTACATCATTTGGTGTCTTGTGGAGAGTCGTCTCATCATGCTCATTGGCAATCATACCTCGTCTTCATATTAAGTCAGGGACAGTGCAAGCTAGCCTCATATAATAACAAGTAAAAAGCATACCTGACAACTTTTCAAATCTCCATGGGGGATTTTAAGCGCAAGAGGACCTAATGCTCCTCAATTTATTGTCATAAGTGTCCTTAATCTACTACTTTGTTTGAATGAGTATATATGTGCTTAAATACCCTTTTAACTCATTTGAATGCCTGTTTTGAGGTCTTCAGTTTATATAATAAAGAATTTCAAAATTCAGGTCAACTTCTCTCATGGGGGATATCCCCCAGAACTCAGGATAGTTGACAGGTCTGAAAAAGTTGTTAAGAATGTAATAAGTGAGTGTAATCAAAGTATTCTGTAGGGTAAACAAAGTTGAAAAAGTTAAAAGTTATCAAAAACATTTCACAATAACAGTAAACTAAAGATAAAGAATGAACCCTAATCAAATGTATAGTGAAATCATGTACTTCAAGGTAAATTACATTTATATATATATATATATAAGCAATTCTAGCACATTTCCTTTTATAGCTGACTATACCTTACGGGTTTTGCTCAATATTAATGTAAGGCCGTAAGGTGACCAACATATATTATTGTAAAATAAATTATTTCGTCTTCTCACATGCTCACAGAGAAATGCAAATGTTTATCTCGCAATGAATGATTAAATATATATATATCTGTTTCCAATTAGTCAATCTTCTTGCTAAAAATAAAGGTATTTGGACTTATCTCGATATTTATGGAAAGTCCAGAGAGAGTCTGAATGACATTGATGAAATGGGAAAATTAAAGTTTAAAAATGGAAACTTGTAACTCATCAAACATACCTCAAATAACACTTATTTGATTTTTTTTCATCACAGTATCTTTTACTAATTCACTTTCTGGATGATAAGTTTTATCAGGTTGGGAACAAACCCCCTATATGGTGATAATACCTGCATAGAGTGATTACCCTTCTATAGAGGGATAAAATTATAGAGGGATATAGTTGTTTAGACTGGATTTAAAGCAGTAAGATGCCAAAAGTGCATTTTCTAGTTATGTTCACTATAATCTATAGCACTATCATATGTATCAATTATTGCACTTTACTAAAATTGGGATGCCCAGTTTTCTGCAAAAGTGACAGAACTTGCAATCTATTGTGTACCTATCTTAGAGAACACCTGATCAACAACAATAAGGACAGTTGACCTTTAAAATTTATGTTAAATCTAACAATAGAAATCTGTTCATTGAGGCATAACTGAGTGGAATTTAACTGATCATCACAGCTTTCAATTATGATGAACAATAGATTGTATTTTCAGTCAGTTTAGCAGTAAACTTAAGTCATGTGCATATTAAATTTAAAAGTACATCAAGGTATCAAGTCGTTCCGGCCCCAAACCAATCTGGCCCAAAGTCAATCTATCCCAAAGTCGTTTCATCCAACGTCGATCCGACCCTAGGTCTATCCGGCCCCATAATAAAATAATGAATAATTTATATTAACATCGGAGGATTTGGTGACATATTTGATTAATGACAGCAGGTAAGTGAACTATGCCTAATTATGGAGTTACATTCAGCAATGTTCAGATGATTTTTATCGATACGAAAAGGAGTAGGATTGGTACTTTTTTTTTAAAGCAGCATCACCATGGAAATATGAAGTCATTTTTTCATGATAGCTTGGAATATCATGGAAAAACTTGGAACAGTTTTTACTTAACATGCTTAATTCACATATTGAAGTTTTTATCATACATGTCATAAGTGACAATGAAGTATGCATAGACAATAGTCTTGAAAACTTGTAATAAAACATAATCAAAATAATTGTTTTATACTGTATAATTATTATCATCTGTACTCATCATGCTCATAATCATTTAAGGTTATAAATTGATTTGAATTTAAATATTTTATATTAAAATAATATTATATTTCTATATGGAATGTTAATATAAACATAAATTTGACTTATCTAAAAAAGTATTCCAATAAATTATGTCTAATCTAATGAAAAATTAAAGACCTAAATATTTGTCAAACTTATTGGTACACTTTTTTTTACCATCCACCTTTTATATTTTATATTATTATAAAATTCATCAATATTTATATATTACAATTCACATATATATATATTTATTCTTTATACATGTTATAAATATTTTTTAAATTGGGGACGGATCGACTTGGGCCGGATCGACTTGAGACGAAACGACTTGGGACGGATCGACTTGGGGCCAGATCGACATGAAAGCTACATCAATTGGTGCATCCAATGTTGCAGGTTACCATGGTTACTGCCATAATAAGTAGAAAATGTGCTTTTGCCATGTTCTGCTTTATATCCATTCTAAACAAATAGTTCCTTCTACAGAGGGATAATGTTATCCCTCTATTGTCTATAGAGGGGTAATCACTCTATACAGGTATTATCACCATATAGAGTCAGGGATATAACTCTATAGGGTTATTAGAGAAAAATAACATACATTTGTTATTGTGGGCTAAAACTCCAAAAACTCCAAAAACTGTGATCACATATATGTTTGTTACATGTTTCAAAGGGGCAATATACATGTACATCCTTTGTTTTGTTAAAATGTATACAAGTTCTATTAATATTATTATTGTCTTTTTTTATATCAAACTTAAGATATAACAGTTCATAGTTTGCCAATCATGCATAGTACACCTATGTTATTACAGAAAAATTATGCCTGTAATAACTAAAGGGTGTTAACTGTTATGACAGCTTCTCTACATCACTTCAAAGCCTTTGCTCAGACATATATCATGTATATCATGCTTAATCACAATGTATTTTAATTTATTGTAAGAAATGATGATCAGAGCATGTAATGTAGTCCTATAATATAGGACAAAAAATATCTGATAAAAAACATTGAATGCAAATGATATATGAACCTACAAAGTCTTATATTATAGGACTACATGAAATGAGGTTCTGCGCAAGCTTCCAAGTAATTCCCAAGTGTCTCCTATAATAAGTTACATGCCTGTAATAACTAAGCCTTTTTATTACAGCTAAGTTTATCGCTTAAAAGACTTGTCTCATTGATATACCATGGTTGATAAAAAATGTATTAATTTAATTGGAAAATTAGTTATCAAGGCTATTTATAAGTTACTGCGCAAAGTTTCAAGACTTCCCAAGTGCCCACTAAAAATTTAAATATTTATGATTTATTTAACAAATAACAAACATATGTTACTACAGATTAAGAAAATTTTAGGAATAAAGAGTAGACAACTCATGAAAGTATCTGTAATAACACATGTATGATATTTTCTCTAATAACCCTATAGAGTTTTATCCCTGACTGATATAGGGGGTTTGTTCCCAACCTGTTTATTCAGAGAAAAACTTACAGGCTTTAGGAAATACTTTTTAGAACTATTAATCATTCACTGTGAGATAAACCCTGCTACGAATGCTTTTTAGATGTTTATATCAAAATATTTTTCATAAATAAAATTTCGGGAATTTTTTTTAAATTGATTTGATGATTAATTATTATATATGTTAATTATGTATGATTACTGTTAATATGGTGTTTACGCAGCTAAACTTGGTGTTATTGTTATGCGTTTGAAAATCGTAATTGTTGTTTTAACTAGCTTTGATGTGAATTCTGCATGTAGTTAGCATGTATTTAGCTTGGTATGAGTAAAAACAATGAAGATTCAAAAGGTTATTGTTGTTGAGCATGTTGAGTTTAATAGCGGTTTGGTATCTAACATTAAAATAATATTCAACACAAAAAACCTTTTTAGAAAGTCACTTTATTTTGAAACAATAAAAAAAAATAATTTATAGCAATACACTCAACAAAGCATGATTAAAAACATATTAAAAATTATAGCTTACTGTTCGGTGTGAGCCAAGGCACCGTGTTGAAGACCGTACTGTGACCTATAATGGTTTACTTTTATAAATTTTGACTTGGATGGAGAGTTGTCTCATTGGTACTCATACCACATCTTCTTATATCTATTAACACAAAAAACTGTCACTTTATTTTGAAACAATGGGAAAAAAACTTATTTTTAGCAATACACTAACCAAAACACGACTAAAAAAATTATAAATACAAAAAACGTCACTTTATTTTGAAACAATGAAAAAAAAATTATTTATAGCAATACAATAACCAAAACACGATTAAAAAATTATTTTAAAAACACAAAAATCAATTTTAGAAAGTCACTTCATTTGGAAACAATGAACAAAAAAAGTATTTATAGCAATACACTAACCAAAAAACGATTGAAAAATTATTTATCACAAAACCAATAAAAAGGGTGCGAACATGTAGGGTGCAAATGGAGCCAGGGTGTGAACGTGTAGGATGCAAACGTGAAAGGGGGCGAACGTGAATGGGAGCACACTTGTTTTTGAGCGAACGGACCCAGATTCATGACGTCACACCCAAATGACCATTTCTTTGGGGACCCATTGAAGAAGTATATTATTTGTTTAATCTTAGATATTCAATTTGAACTGTTGAAAGAGATACAACAAGGACTAGTACCTTGCATAAATTAAAGATATGGACATAGGTGTCCCTTCGGCACAGCCGGTATGGACAAATGTTTTCCTGCGTCAGCAAGAGGATTAAAATCCCAATGTAGATTTGCGACATAACCAGTTCCAGTGCCAGTGGGATAGTCACAACCGCACCATCGAAATTTTACCATAGTTGGTGACCGGGTGTCATTAGACATTACTCAAAAATACAAGTTGGTTTTTTTTTTGGCAGAGAAAAGCGCCTGTGGAACACTTGGATTTTTTCAGAGACAAGTGCAGGAAGGCGTCAAAGCAAAAAATAAAATAGCCTTTCAAGACGTCATAACTATTTGGACTACCTGTGGAAATGCATGGACGATGATTGTGGGAAGGTCTATTAACAGGACAGATAAAACCAGGACAGTTATTTTCGATACGTTTTCATCTGTAACTTTTGTTTTAACCAACATATTGTTAAAATTTAAATTGTAGAATAAAGAACAGGGTATATACTTACATTATTTGTAAAAAAAAATAAAATAAAAAATTAATAAGGTGAAAAAATCTGCCAGGACAGTTAAATTTTAAGAAAAAAATGGCTGAAATTGCCCAGAAAAATTTACTTATAATTGAAATAATTTCTCCAAAACAACTGTCTGGCATAATATTTTTGTGCGATTATAAAGTTTAAGGAATAATCATTCCAAAAATCTATAATTCAATATTTATTTTGTCTTTTAAAGGTAAAGAAATCTGCCAGGACAGTAGCCTATTAAGTTAGAAATTTTGTTGAAATCAGCAAATAATTCAAAATATAAAGTTAAATATCTTCTTCAAAATGAATGTCAGGTAAGCAAATTTTGGTTCATTGGAAAGTTTGAAATATAAGCTTCAAGAAAATATAAAAAAAATATGGACTTTTATTTCATTAACACAAAAAAAATCAGCCAGGACAGTAGCCTTTTGCGTCAGAAATTTTGTTGAAATTCGCTTAAAATCAATGGATAAATTTGAATATTTTGTTCAAAATGCATGTCTGGCAAGAAAATGTGTATTCATTGGAAAGTTTGTATTATCAGCTTAATTGGGTCTGTTACTTTATGAAAGTATCAAAATAGTATGTCAGACAATCGCAATAAATAAACTATTTCATTTATAGTTAGAAATTGCGTTGTGAATTTCCGCCATTTACAAATGTATACAGAAATTTAACGGAGTAGGCTACTGTCCTGGCAGATTTTTTTTGTGTTAATGAAATAAAAGTCCATATTTTTTTATATTTTCTTAAAGCTTATACTTCAAACTTTCCAATGAACCAACATTTGCTTACCAGACATTCATTTTGAATAAGATATTTTACTTTATATTTTGATTTTGAGCTAATTTCAACAAAATTTCTAACGTTATCGGCTACTGTCCTGGCAGATTTTTTTAACTTTAAAAATCGAAATATATTAAATTTTAGATCTTTAGAATGATAATTCCCTAAACTTTATAATCGTACAAAAATATTATGCCAGACAGTTGTTTTGGAGAAAATATTTCAATTATAAGTAAATTTTACTCGGCAATAATTTTCAGCCATTTTTTTCTTAAAATTAACTGTCCTGGCAGATTTTTTTTAACTAATTTATTTTTTATTTTATTTTTTTTTACAGATAATGTAAGTAAATACCCTGTTCTTTATTCTACAATTTAAATTTTAACAATATGTTGAGTAAAACAGAAGTTACAGATGAAAACGTATCAAAAATAAATGTCCTGGTTTTATCTGTCCTGTTTTTAGACCTTCCCAATGATTGTTTGTATTTGCCAAATTAACTTCAATGCAATTCACAATTCATGAATCTCATCTATAAGTTAATGAGTATAAGAATTTATCTTCTTTTAGTACCTTCAGAAGCTGGAGGTTAATGTGTGCAATGACCGTGAGCAAAACTTCTCTTAGAGTCTACAGATTTTCTGGTCATTGTACAGACCGGTTTTTTTTTCTTTTTCATTTCTAATACAAAAGAGTTAAATTGGGAGACTTTAATCAAAGTTTTACCATAAAAGAAAAGGGATATTTTTGGTAAATGTATCAAAAATTAAAAAGTTGGAACCACAAAACTTTATATAGTTTAAATAAACAAACAAAATATTTGTTGATCTCAATGGTTTATTCAAGAGATGTTGCATGACCTACTTAAAAAGTAAGTACTTCTCCCTAAGTTTTCCGGAAAGAGCACACCAATCGTAACTACTCGGCCATTCTCGCTATAATAACTTATTTCTTGGCATTCGTCACAACTCGGCCGATTCCGTACCTAGCGGATTCACCCGAGGATTGCCGATTGATTTCTTGGAGCAACCAGAAAGCCGAGTAGATCCGATTGAAGAGCACACCTGAAGTGTCTATTAATAGTTAGCAACATCATCACAGAATTTTAGAAATTTGTAAGATTTGGTAGCAAAATTTGAAAAGGCATCATTTTTATTTTGCATATGTAAATGTAATGAAACAGAATGTTTCAACTAACAGAAGCAGTCACATGTATTACTTTTATTACTTTGATCATCTGTATTTCTACTTTCGTTTTTCACGTTTCCCACTATCTATTCGATTTTATTCAAATTAATTATTTATTATCAATATGTTCAGTTATGTGTAATATTAGAATAAATGATTAAAATACAAAAAAGGGGAAATTACAATTGAAAAGGTAAAATGATTGTAGGCCTATAGCCTGTTACCCAATCCAACAGGTCATGCACATCCATGTAAAAAATAGAATTATATCTCAGCTTTCAGTTTCAATCTTGGCAGGCAAAGTGATGAATAAGGGATTTGTGACACAGTCTTGCTTGTGGGCTGTCTGTAGTAATATCTGTTTGTGCAATAATGAAGATCGTACCATGAGTCGCCCAAATTGACAAATGGGTTATTTGGAATATAAATTTCTGGGGAAGCCCTGATATTCTGACAGCCCATTGGTCATACACCCAATTAGTCAGTGGCCTGATGGGTCTGACACACCAATGATCCGACATCCATATCATTGGTTCTAACACCCCAATAGGCTGTCACCAAATAAGTGAACAATAGTTGTCGGATATCTTTTTATATTAGAGAGCCTGATGGTCATGGCATTTCTTAAATACCAGATGGATGGTATAGTATTATCTGTTTCAGTTTCTTTGACATACTTATAAGAAAGAGTTGTTCAAATACCATGCCAACGTTATGATTCTATGAAATAGATTTTCTACTACATATACTTTCCTTTGTAATAAATAAGGACTATTGGGGTGTCAGACTAATGGGGTGTCATACAAATGGGGTGTCGGACTTATGGGGTGTTGGACAAATGGGGTGTTTATAGACCCAATTGGGTGTCGGAATATCGAGGCGACCCTATTTTCCTGTGCTAAAACAATTATTTTTTATTTTATAGCAAATATTACCAAATGCAAATAATAAGGGAGCAACCACTTAACTTCAAGGGAGGGGGTTATGGTTTTTTGTCTGAGGCAGAAATTTTTTTTTTTTAGTTTTTCGACGCTATCAAATTATTTTTTTCAAAATTTAACACAATAAGGTATGGGGAAAATCTGGATTCAGAATATTTTTTTTATCATCTGATTGCATGACCACAATATTTTTTTTCATCCAATTGGTGGATCAGAATATTTTTTTAGGAAAAAACCATAACCATGATAACGTTAACCCCCCTTGAAGTTAAATGGTCGTTCCCTAAAATGGAAGGCAAATACATTTTGTAACAAATATAACAGTATTTTATCTTACTGGAATAAAAGGTATAGAATATTTGTTCCAATAGGAACACATATCTGCATATTATGGCATTGTTTATAACAAATTGTCCAGGGGAACTTCTGTTAGACAGAACAAATATACATTGATCATGACAATAAGATTGATTGCTGATATAATTTTCTATGTGATGAAATGTATTCCCCATTTCCATTCCCATTCCCTTTTCTATTTATACTGCCGTTATGGCATGTATGTAATAATCTGCCATATGATTTTGCAATCCCATCAAAGTCAGATGGCAGATATCAGCTAGAATCAAATTTCAGTTTCGCAGATCTACTTTGTAAAACTATGTCAACTGGTTTTAATTTTAATCTGGTTCAAATGCTTAATGCTAAAGCTTCTGTAGCAAAAGATTCATTGTTCAAAAACATATTTTTGAAGTTACATATATTCATGTTTCACAATTTTGACCTTATAATATAAAAATTGAGATGTGGTATATGATTGCCAATGAGACAACTATCTGACTACTGCAGTCTATATCTACGATTGTGAGAAGAAATGACATAGATGTAAGACCTCTATCAACATATATTAACATGATAGATGTACAAATGTATATAGTTTATATGTTATCATGTTTACATTACTTTTCAGATAAAACCATAATGTGTACAATACATTGATTTGAGGCATTTTTTCTGCAAATTTTTCCTATACAAGAATGAGACCATTGATGTTAATCTGCTAATAAGAAAGAATTGTTAGTGAGAGCTTTGTCGACAAGTAAGTTTTTCATCTGTAATTATAGACATGAAAAGGATTCTTATACTATCTATATATATAAGTTAAATTTTACTGTAAGTCTGTTAATTTTTGTTATTGTATGATGGCATTGCATGACTTTATTGCTCTTTAACTTATATTGGCATACTTGGCCCTTTCAGAGCCAGGTGAGCCTTATCCATCACTTCAAGTGTCAGTCATTATCCATGTTCATTTTCTAATCTTTCAAAAATCATCTCCTTTGAAACCCCTTTACAAATTTATATCAAACTTGACATAATTTGTTTTTAGGGTGTCTAAATCATAGTTAATGAATTATATTGCAGTCCATTCACACTTAACCTCATAGCTGCTTATGATGCATGGCTATAAAAATTCGTAAGGGTTCCGCGGAACCCAGTGTCTCGCCTACTTTTTCTGTTAATCGCAGGCTCAACAAAAATGAGGAAGTAAATCAATAAAAATATTCCTCTTGATACTATCTTTTGATTGTAAGAAGCTTCTGTCCAAGTTTGGTAAAAATCCAGGATAGTTTATGAATCTAATAAATGTTTAAAAACTTTAACTGCAGACTGAATGTAATGTTAACTGGAAGAAAACAAAATTTCCTTCTAGATACTAGCATTAGATCATAAACAAGCTTCTGTCCAAGTTTGGTACAAATCCAAAATAGTATAAGAAAGTTATTAAAATTTTAAAAACTTTAACCACAGAGTGAATGTGTTGTTTCCTGGCAGAAAATCTAAGTCCATTTAAAAGTAAAATAAGGAAAAAATGGATTTTTTTTTTTACAAAATTTACTTCTGGATACTATCTTATGGTCATAAACAAGCTTCTATCCAAGTTTGGTAGAAACCCAGGATAGTTTAAGAAAGTTATTAAAATTTTAAAAACTTTAACCACAGAGTGAATGTAATATTTCCCGGCAGAAAAACTAAGTCCATTTATAAGTAAAATACGGAAAAAATGGAATTTTATTTTTACAAAATTTACTTCTGGATACTATCTTATGATCATAAACAAGCTTCTGTCCAAGTTTGGTAGAAATCCAGGATAGTTTAAGAAAGTTATTAAAATTTCAAAAACTTTAACCACAGAGTGAATATTTGTGGACGCCGCTGACGACGACGACGACGACGCCGACGGAATGTAGGATCGCTATGTCTCGCTTTTTCGACTAAAGTCGAAGGCTCGACAAAAATGAAACATATATAGTGTAAAAATGTAAGCAATTTTTATCTTGAAACATGATATTAAAGAAATTATGACAGAGCAAGGATTTTTATATTTTACAAAAAAAGTTTTAAGAACTATAAAACAATAAGAAATCTTCAACAGAGGTATTAACAATGCTTGGAATGTCAAATTTACCATGGAATGTCTTCTTTTCTTGGACTTTTGATTTTAATGGCCCCATTGGTATCACCTGTCTCTTTTTGCCCCCCATGAACGTGTTGCGGGGGACATAGAAATACTGGGCGTCCGTCCAGTCTTGTTAGCGCTCTCATGTGTACAGTTCTTGCTAGATTTTTATGAAACTTATAGCATATGTTTATTACAGCAATGTCTTGGACGAATTCAAAAATCAGTGCCGATCAATTATTTTTAAAAGAGTTTTGCCTCCTGGAAACATTAATTATATGGAAAATTGCATAGTTAAGTGCTCTCATGTGTACAATTCTTTCCAGATTTTTATGAAACTTATATCATAGGTTTATATTAGCAATGTCTTTGACACTTTTTAAAATCAATGCTGGTCAATTATTTTTAAAAGAGTTATGCCCCTTTGAAATATTGAATAAATGGAAAATTACATGTTAGCACTCTCATGTGTACAATTCTTGCCAGATTTTTATGAAATTATATGACAGGTTTTCATCATCAATGTCTCAGACAAATTTAATAATGAGTGCCGATCAATTATTTTTAAAAGAGTCATGTCCCTTGGAGATATTGATTATATGGAAAATTGCGATGTTAGCGCTCTCATGTGTACAATTCTTGCCAGAATTTTATGAAACTTATATCATAGGTTTATATCAGCAATGTCTTTGACACTTTCGAAAATCAGTGATGATCAAATATTTTTAACGAGTTATGCCCCTTGGAAAAATTAATTTCAACAGAAATCGCATTGCATATATATATTTGCTCTGAAGCCTTCATTTCTCTAAGATATTTATAAATTGTTTTAAAGAAAGAAAAAAAAAGTGTTTTATTTAGTTATTGCGCTTGTACCTTGGATAGATGTGCAACGTGGGGGACATTGGAACGCTTTTCTTTTATTTAACCTACATACCGGTAATCTAATCAATTTTTTTTATCATCAAAGAAAGGTGAAAAACAAATATTAACAGTTGATTGATTTTACGACATATTTTTGTCTATATGTAGTGAAAGATTCAGGCTCCAAAGAACCTCTGGTTACTTAGATGTATAATTGTTTTCATTTTCTCACTTCCAGAGATTTAGATTCACCATGACAAAACTTGATACAGAATTCCAGCTTCTTCTCTCAAAAATCAGTGATAATTTGACCTCAGGTTTGTATATTGTTCAGTGTTTTCCCTAGATTGGGGCTAGACCGAAAGGATGTTGGTCCTGAAATTTGAAGGATGGGACTTTAATTGAATCTAGACAAATAATGAATCTACCATTTTAAAATATGGGGGATCTAATTAAACGTATGTGGGCCCCACTATGGATAAACTCTGTAGGGAAAACACTGTGGTTTCTCTGGAAGAATAATGACATTTGATACAAAAGGAGATGTCAGGTATATATGTCAATGAGACAGCAACCATTAGACAAAAATAACCGAGAGAAATCTTAGAGGGTAACAAGCAGTCTTCAACAATAGATGGGACTTTTGTCTTTAAAGAATTTTAAATTATTTCTGAATTATGTCAAATCTATAAAAGTTGTGAAAAAAATTAACATGTTGGAAACAATCAGAGGTCTGCCATTAAACCAAATTCTCCAACAAACGAAAAGATCATTAAGGTATATGAAACAACAACTACTGATGAATTCCTGACTTTGGATCTACTTACCCTTCCGGAGCACCTGAGATCACACCCAGTTTTTGGTGGGGTTTGTGTTGCTCAGTCTTTAGTTTTCTATGTTGTGTTTTGTGTACTGTTGTTTGTCTGTTTGTCTTTTTCTTTTTTTGCCATGGTGTTGTCAGTTTATTATTGACTTCTGAGTTTGAATGTCCCTTTGGTATCTTTCGCCTCTCTTTTGGACAAGCACATGAAAGTGAGGCAGGGTTTATAAAACCATCACCTGACTTCATAAACATCTCGCCCCTTAGTGATTTTTTTTTAAATTTTAGCATAAAAACTTTTTATCATGAAAACTGATAAAAATTAACAAAAACTACATACAACAAATAAGATCTTCAAGACAAGATAAACACGAATGAAAATGTCTTGCAAGTGTTTATTTGAACTATTGCCCTTTAATGATTTCATTGGTCTTTAATATTGTGATGTAACTGCTTTAAAAGTGGAGGGCCATATTTGAATTGTAAAAAGGTATTGAAATTTTTGGGAATGATTTTTAAATATATATCATTGGCGGATCCAGGGGGGGGGGGAGCTGGGGGGCCTGGGCCCCCCCCCCCCTTATGTGGGAAAAATTTGGTTGATTATATAGGGAATCACTGAAGCATGACTGTAGGGGCCCCCTCTTATGGCAGTCAGTGGGCCCCCCGTTATAAAAAGTTCTGGATCCACCACTGTATATTCTGATTTTTAGGTTAACTCTGATTTTGGTAAACAATTATTAGCCTTGATTTTACTTGAAAGTTGTATATTGGACAATAAATTAATTTCCAGGAAAAAAATTTCGCCCGAATTGAAATACATACTTTTCCCAATAACCCCACTCATACAATAAGCTTATCATAGATCCAAGGCTTATAAGAAACTAAATGCATCGTTTTGGGAGATGTTGTTTGAACTCAATTTGCCCTGTATTTTTAAGATTAAAGGTGCATTCCACCAATTATTCTCTCGCATACAATTAATTGAGAAATAGCCTTTACATACAGTTCTATTTATATCACATTCCTTCTTTAAATAGTTGACCAGAAATTGAATTGGTGCGTAAAGTCCCATATTTCATTATGATAAATTTTTTATCATTATGTGCTTTCATTTTACAGAGGATGTCAAAAGTTTGAGATTTTTGTTAAAAGCTGAGAATAAAATTCCAGTTCAAAATCTAGATGCAGCAACATCAGGGGAAGACATTTTCCATTTAATGACAAAACATGGCCTTTTGTCAAAAACAAAGACAGACCTATTGATAAATTTTTTGAAAGAAAAGAACTTGCAGCCACTTGTAAATGAGCTGGAGAAATTTAAAACAGAAAATGAAGAAGAACTGTCACAACCAGTGGAAGGTATTTACAGTTTTTATAAAAGATATTTTACAACACATATTTGGAATGCAACTTGCTTGTCAAGTTTCTTGGGAAGTTTGTTCATTCAAGCATTACAATTCAATATTTTCACACATCAAGAGAGATAGGGAGTTTCTGTCTGGTTAAAAAAAGACACTGAGATTTGGTTTGATTGAACAAATTATACAGTCAATTTTAAATTTGATGCAAGAACAAATTTCCTAACAAGCTTGAGGGGCAAACCAACCCAGGTAACATATATGTTGAACATGCTATTGTAGGATAGCTTTAAATTTCATTAAAAAATTATAGCAATAAGGGAACCAATCCTATATTTAAATGTTCATAATTTAAATTAAATTTAAACAAATCACCAAATATAAAAAAGAAGATGTGGTATGATTGCCAATGAGACAACTTTTCACAAGAGACCAAATGACACAGAAATTAACAGCTATAGGTCACCGTATGGCCTTCAACAATGAGCAAAGCCCATACCGCATAGTCAGCTATAAAAGGCCTCGAAATCACAAATGTAAAACAATTCAAATGAGAAAACTAACGGTCTAATTAATGTACAAAAAAATGAACGAAAAACAAATATGTAACACAGCAACAAACGACAACCACTGAATTACAGGCTACTGACTTGGGACAGGCACATACATACAGAATGTGGCGGGGTTAAACAGGTTAGCAGGATCCCAACCCTCCCCCTAACCTGGGACAGTGGTGTAACAGTACAACATAAGAACGAACTATAAAAATCAGTTGAAAAAGGCTTAACTCATCAGATGGATAAAAAGGAAGGGGATTGAAGTTATGACATTTGGAACATATCTGCTATCATCTGTGAAACAGATATTCCAAAACGGTCAACCAACTCGTGATGGCGTCTGTAAGATTTACGAAGGGATGTACTGTACCATTCACCATGCAACAGCCAGTATAAGGAAAAAATATTTGGGCTATAAATATACTGTAACATTAATAATCCTGCTTAGTTTTTTTTTTAAGTACAGAGCAGGAATTGCATGCATACCACATTTATGTGACATTAAATTGTTCTCACCTTGATAGTGAATATATTTAATATTTGACACTGGAAGTTTATCACAAATTCATCCATCATTCTCAGTCATATACCTTAAATTCAGAAATTATTGCATGTTTTTTTTTCTATTAATTCTTATAATAAGAACTCTCTTTCTTATATATAACTGATACATATATCTGTATGCAGGTTTATTTGAAATCATAATAATTAATACATGCCATTACTTGCTGAATTTACAGTAATTTAATGAATTTATAATGAATAAGGCATAACAAATTTTTTTTCTTTCTTTTCATTATTGCTCCAATTTTTGAACGAAGAAATTTTTAATAAAAAAAAATATCATATTTGTTCCTTTAGGAATAAAGGATATAAAATATCTATTCGAACATGAATTTTAACAGATATTATGGCATTATTCATGACAAAGTTTCCAGGGTAGCTTCTATTAGTATTAGGCTGAACATATATGTTTTGACAAGATAAAAATAAAATATATTTTATTGTGCAAGATCTTCTTTTAAACATTTAATTTTCTTTAGGTCCCTGTAATATACAAGAAGACATGGTTGTGGAACATTTTATGGAAACCACCAAGTTAGTAGAGCTGACATCTAAAATGGAAATGGAAAACTTTGCTGTCCTTTCAGGTACACATTTATTCTAGGTTATTGAGTCATGGTTTTGGTTTGTGGATTTTTGCAGCTGTCATGGTATCTTTTTCCTCTTTTTTGTCACCTAGGGGACTTGTTTCTTGTTCTGTGTGTATGTTCTTCCATTCATCTGCCACTTTTCAGGTTAAACTATTAATACCATGAAGTTGTGTACACATATGCATGAAATTGAAACTAAGGACAAATGTTTTTTATGATTTGCACTTTTAAAAATAAATGCCAAATTAAGGTTTTACCCAGATCCAATGGTTAACTGAATATGAAATTGTTATAATTTTGGTAGGAAATTGGTTTCCGTTCTCTAACTTTAGTTTACCTCAACCAAATGATATAAAAATTATACTTAATGCTTATTACCACAAAACACAGATCAAGTTCGAAATTGGGTGTCATCACTTTTACCGTTCTTGAGTTATGCCCTTTATAAATGGAAAAATTGCTAAATATGTAGTGTCTGTTCTCTAACTTTAGTTTGCCTCCACCAAATGTTATGAAACCTATACACAATGCTTATAATTAGAAAACCGCAATTTTTATACGTGTGCATGCAAAACAAATATCTTGTTAGAGGGGTCTAAATACCGCACAAACAACATTTTCCAAAAGATAAAAAAAGTGAAAAAGTATATTTTAACAAAACGCATTTGACTAACAGGTCGAAATATATATATATATATAGGAATCATCCTGTCCTGCACTCATATTTACAGCGACTGTACTTTTATGAAGATTCCATAAAGGAAGGTCATGATCTATGTGAGAAAATAAGATCTTGAACATTTGTACAGAATTTCAATACAATATATAGAATTTCAAACAACAAATATTAAGCCAATTGATGTTAATCCTTAAAAATACCAGACACAACGATTATTGGTATAGAAGATTTCATTGGTTTATAAAAACCCACATGATTGCTGTTGAAGATCGTAATTTATGTTGACCTATATTTTTCTGTCATCTGAGGTTTCTGACTTAATCTGCATTTAATGATGCATCTCCTCTTATTTATAAAATGCGGTTAAAGTTAAGCATGTAAAGTGGCTTATTTCATTTGGGTTCAAATTTCAAAATTTTAAAAGCCCAATTAGTTTGATATTTTTTTATTGACTTGTTTTCTTGCCCTAGATTATAACCTTTCTTAATGATAAAATTTTCTCTAGTAAAATGTTTCACTTTTTTTCTGTTATGGGGAAAAATAAACCCCTCTTGAAAATTTTCCACTTTTACAGTATGTCAGTTTTGAGTGTCTCAAAATAGTACTTAGTCATATTAATGTCAACATTATCGGCTGCTGTGTCAGCTGCTACAGAAACAAAATACTTTAGGAGTTTTTTGTTTGTTTTATATTGTTTTAGTTGAGCAATTTTGTATAAAGCTACTTTCAAAATGTTAAATACACATAATACAGTAATCAACAAGATTTGTGTAGAAAGATTTCAAGGACTTTTTATAGGAGCCCTCAATTCTATACCATGAAATGTAATACTAAAAATAGGCAGTGGCTGGTGACATTCTTTCCAGTAAAGCTATGGAGATGGACAATATTTCATTTTGATAGTTCCATTTGTGTTAATAGAATAAGGATATATATTTTTTTTATTTATAGGTTTAACTGGATGTGGGAAAACCCAGTTGGCCTTGTCCTTTGCCTGTAATTTTCATAAAGACCATGTAAAAAGCATTTGTTGGAAGATATTTTGTAAGGATGAGATAACATTAATGAACTCTTTGAAGAAACTAGCAGATAAATTAGGTCTTGAGAAAGAGAGTACACAGAAGGAAAATATTGATAACGAGGATTCTCTGGATGAACTACGAAAATTAATTCAAAAAGAATTGCTTAAAAATAATGATGGTCCAAATTTGATCATATTGGACTATGTCACAGAGGAAACAAAAATTCAATGTCAGAAATTGAAAGACGCTCTTTTGAAACTGAATGTGAAAGTAATTGTAACAACTTGGGATTCAACATTTTGTGACACAGAAAACATCATCATAGTCAATGGCTTCTCAGAAGACGAAGCAGTTGTGTTTTTACAAAACAAGAAGAAAGAACTGAATTCAAAAGAGGAAAAAAGTTATAGAGAGTTGGCACAAATGCTAGGTAACCATCCATTATTACTGTATGGAGCAAGGAGTTGTATGGCTTCGTCAAATCAAACACCGAAGAAATTCATCAAATATTTACGAGGAAGCAAATCGTCTGAAATGGATAAGTTTGTAAGATCCGTATCCAGAAATGGAGAAGTCTTTAAAATATTGCAGGAATATTTAGAAATCTTAAAGAATGATTATGGAGAAGATGTTTTTGATATGGTGCAAGCCTTGCAATTTTTTGCTCTGGAAGATATACCTGTCCTTCTGTTTGATTTCTTTCCTACAAGAAAACAGAATCATCAAGGATTCAACACTACAAACTTCATTCAAGCCATCAAAAAGTTTTCATTTGGTATCGTGAGGGGAGTTGATGATGACCGATTTATTACAACACACTTAGCTGTTGTGAAAACTATAGAAGAGTCGATGTCAGATGAAGAAAAAGCTAAACTTATCAAAAATATCTTGACAGCTTTGATGTGGCTTATGGACAAAGATAATTATAATGCAAATGATTATGACAGGAATTATCGTCTGCTACCCCATGCTATATCAGTATTACAACATGTTAAAAAATTGCGAGCAGAAAATCTGAATCTCTTGTGTGATTTTGAATCAAATGTGCTCTTGGCTTATGTGTATGACATAGTTGGGTACACATACAATTTTTTCGGAATTTTGAAAAATGCCGGGGAACATTCAACAGCTGCCAAAGAAGCATGTTTTGCCATAATAGGTATATCAGAAGAAGAAATTGAAAAACAGGTCATGCAAAGATGCTGTCGTGACGACCATCATAGAACATGGGAAAAATTTGCAGAAGAGGAAGCAGTCATTATATTTAAACAAATTAAAGTTCAGATTGGTGATGATGACAAAAATGCACTTTTGTGCAAAATGGCAAAACAGTTTGCATTGAACAAATATAGGGGTCAAGATCACATAAAAAAACTTGAAGAATATTTAGAAGATGAACTTGAAGAAGAGTATCGTTTGACAGAAAGAGAATATAAAGACCTTTGTAAACAACATCTTGCGTTGCCAGAAGATCAGATTGGGGGCATATTTTTATTTGAACTTGTATTACAAGTTTTTTATACATATGGAAGGAGAATTTTCTATTTGGGTGATGCTTTTGAGAAAGATTTGGCAAGGTCCTTTACTCATTCTTTGTTTTTGGCAAAGGCATTAGGTCAAAGAATTGCCAGTGAATATCCAGAGTGGAAGGTTCTCTATGTCATGCTTACAGAACTTAGTGGAACCTTGCAGCTAAGATTTGAAGACAAAGCAGATCTTCAACTTAAAACATTGGAAAATCTTGAAGATGCAGCTGAACGGTTTAAGAGATTATTAGAATACAATTCTGAAAACTTTAATTATGGAGTAATAAAATCTGGACCAGAAAATGCACAGCATGTGCATATTTGCTGCAAACGTTTGGTGAAGTGTTACACTAGCATGACCGAGATAACATCAGACGAAGCAAAATTGAAAGAAATACATGAAAAGGGTGACAAATACAAAGACATGCTGAATATTACACAGTCTTCATGTAGAGCTGTCACAGCTGCGAATTTAAGAATGGCAGAATTTTCCTTACGTCGGGGAAACTACGAAGATGCTGAAATGAGATTTAAAGTTGTTGCGCCAGAGGATATGATAGAATATGATCAGGAGATTAAATCAGCAAAATTCACTCACCATGAACTTAAAGCTCTAAAGGGACTAGCTAAATGTTATTCATTAAGTGGTCAAACAGAATCCGCCAAAACACTAGCCAATAGAATACAGATCAGACTAGGATTGGCCAAGGAATATGAAGAATTAGGACATTTTAATAATTTAATGCAGAAGTTGGGATTGTCTTCTGTAGTAAAGTCAAAATAAGGAAAATAGCTAGGAATTTGTATTTCTGAAATTTACCATGTAAAGGAACCTATTTTTAAGTTTTCTAATGTTCATATTTTGTTTTTGTTGCAAGTAAGAACATTTTGTCTGACTGAAGGCCAAATTTTCTTCATAATGGTGTGTTTCATGCCAAAATTTTACATTTATTAAATGCTTTTATATGAAAAAAAACTAGGTTTTTTTAGGGTAAAAATTGAATGAAATGCAATAAAAATATATATGTTAATGCCTTGATATCTTTTGATACTTTGATATTTTTGAATTTTTGTAACAAAGATCTTTTTTCAATCAAATGATAAAAGTGGAAAATAGCTAGGAATTGTAAATATTCTGTGTCGTATTTCTGAAATTTACCATGTTATGGAACCTGTTGTTATGTCTAATGTTTGTTTTTTGTTTTTTTTGTTGCAAGCAAGAATTTTTTTTTGGCTGAAGGCTATTTTTTCTTTATATGAGTATGTTTCATGCCAATATTTTTCATTTATTAAATGCTTGTATATTCAGGAAAACTAGTTTTTTTAGGGTAAAGATTGCATGAAATGGAATAAAACCCTTTAAATGTTACTGCCTTGATATCTTTTGATATTTTGATATTTTTGCCTTTTATTTGCAAAGGTTTTTTACAACCAAATAGATAAAAGAGGATATTCTGCATCATATTTCTGATATTTTTCCAATTATTGGATTTTTTTTATCATGTTTATGTTTAATGTTATTATTATACCCCTGCTCTGAAGGAGGGGAATGTAATTAGCTCACCTTTCCGAAAAGGAAATGTGAGCTTTTGCCATCACTTGGCGTCCTCCGTCGTCAGTCCGGTGTAAACTATTTCAAAGATCTTCTCCTCTGAAACTACTGAACCAATTTCAAACAAACTTAAGCTGAATGATCCTTAGGGTATCTAGTATAAAGTTTTTGTTTTATTTTCTGTTTCGTCAAGAAACATGGCTGCCATGGATAAAAATAGAACATAGGGGTAAAATGCAGATTTTGGCTTATATCTCAAAAACTAAAGCATTTTTAGCAAATCTGACATGGGGTAAAAGTGTTCATTAGGACAGAACTACCTGCACTGAAATTTTTTTTATACCCTGTCTCTGAAGGAGTGGATATACTATTCTGTAAGTATGCCAGTCCCATAAAATTTCGGTCACATTTTTCTCAGGGACTACAAACTAGAGCTTCTAGAAATTTGGTATAAAGCTTCATGTGAGTCTGTATTACTGTATCATGCATTTCAAAATGTATCACTTATTAACTTCCTGTTTACTGAATATATTCTTACACATAATATTATGGCCATGTATGAAATTTTGAATGATTTCAACTACAAATCAAGGCTTTCTGAAATTTGAAGCAAGATTCTTTTGAGCATTCTTTTGACTTTAATTATTTATCCCTTGTAATTTTTTATTAACTGTGTATTTGCATACAGGTGTCACAGGTCAAATTTATTCGTTCATTGTGTGTTAATTTACGCTTTTTGATTGAGTTAAGCCTTCCAATTGATATTTTATAGTGTGTTTTTCTATGTTGTGATGTTAAACTATTGTTTCAGAAAAGGGAGAAGGTTTGGTACCATTAAAATTTTAATCCCGTTGCAAATGTTTGCACCTGTCCTAAGTCAGGAATCTGATTACAGTAGTTGTCGTCTGTTTATGTAGTTCATATGTGTTTCTTGTTTCTCGTTTTTATATAGATTAGACCATTGGTTTTTCCGTTTGAATGGTTTTACACTAGTAATTTTTTGGGGCGATTTATAGCTTGCTGTTCGGTGTGAGCTAATGCTCCGTGTTGAAGGCCGTACCTTGACCTATAATGGTTTACTTTTATAAATTGTAACTTGGATGGAGAGTTGTCTCATTGGCACTCATACCACATCTTCCTATATCTATGATATATTACAAAGAAGCAGATCCAGGAATTTTAAAAGGGGCATAATTTCAAAAATAAAAGTATATATGGTAATTATATGGTATAATATATATACTGACAATTGGAGTGAGGCCAAAATATTTTTGGAAGCTTTTATGCAAAAAAAATAAAAATTTCCGAACAAAGGAGGGGTATGGCCTCTATGCACCCCTAAATCCACCATTGCTATATGATGCATATTTCCACATCCGTCACCTATCGGCTTCTTGTTCAAGGAATACTTATAGTCATGTATCATTATTGATCCAGACCCTCAAATATGTTTACGAAATAATTCCTTCATGTCATTCTCTATGCTCATTTCAACATGGGTAGGCATTATATTTGTCGCTATTTTACACTTTGCGTTTAGAAGGTGTAAAATATGGTCAAATATAATGCCTACCCATGTTAAAATGAGCATAGAGCATGACATGAAGGAATTATTTCGATTCTAATAGAAAAAATACGGTTATTTTTATAGGTCAAAGCATACGAAAATACCTTTAGGAATGTTTGGCTAGTCCCATTTTCTCTCCATTAATTGTGTACATTACATTTTCATATTTGATAAGATTAAAAGCTAATAGCAGGGTAAATGTATGATGTTTTAATAACAATATATATATATATACATAATCAAATTTTATTTAAGCAGATAAAAAAAAAGATAAATATATAAATTATATATTTTATTAGGATAAAAATGAAAATAACGAGAATGTGAACAGTAAATTTGTGCGCATGTGTCAAATATATTTGGTGCTAAATAGAACATATTTGTTTAAAAAGGGTAATAAGGATGTCATATTAGAATTGATGATTAATACTGGCCAATCAGAGTGACAGTTGTTATTGAAATAAAAAAATGAATAACATTAAGACGTTTATAATTATAATGTGCAATTATGTAGTCTGCTTGGACTAGACATTTATTAAACAATCCTTCTCAATTAAATCATGGATTCATTCAAACAATCAAGATGGCTGCCTCAACGCAAATAAAAGAACTTTTTTTTCTGCTTTTAGAAATATGGATTGGTGGACAGTTATTTTTATTTTTTTATGTAATTTTTCTTTCATTGCATTTTATATAGTGTAAGACATTTTTCTGATTTGTGTTGGGGTTTAGTTATATAGATGTTTGTTTTTTTATGAAACTACTGTATTCCATTGTGTATATATAATCAATGATAATTATTGATAAATATTTTTATAAACTTTTAGGTTTAGATGTGCCATACGTTAGTTTTTGTGTTTTATAAACTTTTAAGTTTAGATGTGCCATACGTTAGTATTTGTATCTTATAAATTTAATAAACTGCAGATATCTTTTGATAATTGATATTGTCGACCATTATTCATCAGCATTTTTTTGTCTTATTGTTGTTGCCAATGTTTTCTTTTTCCAAAATCAAGAGACATTTTTTGTATCACCTTGAACAACAATGATAACAGTAATGTGTTACTTTTTTTTGCCTATTTTGCAATTCAATAAACAATTTCCTCATCTTTCAGTTGGCTGTTCATCAGGTCAGTGGTATCTTTGAACAGTCACAACAAAATACTTTTTCTGTGCGATATCATGTTTTAAAATATTGTCTAATTATCCTTATTTTTTCCTGCTATTAAATCACAAGAAGAGTCATACATATTATATTTCCATTCTAATTTAGATATTTTTTGACAAAACCATTAAAGCAAGCTTTGTTTAATTTCTTCTATTATTAATTTTTCTGTTTGCCAAATTCTCCCAAATCCTTGTTTCATCTGATTTACATATCACAAGCACTGTTAAGTAACAAGCTAGCAAATCTGACTTGTTAACAAACAGCTGCATATACAAACATTTCAATTTTTACATGAATTGAATGAAATCATTTCTTTTTTAAAAAAACTGTTCCAAACAGTTGTTTGAATCTCTATTTGCAAGTATTCAAAGGCATATTAATGTGACTTCGTCTTTTTTGAATAATAGTCTCTTACTTTTCTAAATCTAACAGAACCAAAGTTTGTTATTTAAATTATGCATAATCAAAGGTTAAATAAACTTGGAAATAATTTTGGATTACTGATATTGAATTGTCTTCCTTTGTATTGGAGGGGATCATTTTTGTCGAGCCTTTGACTTTATTCGAAAAAGCGAGACATAGCGATCCTACATTCCGTCAGCGGCGTCCACAAATATTCACTCTAAGTTTTTAAAATTTTAATAACTTTCTTAAACTATCCTGGGTTTGTACAAAACTTGGACAGAAGCTTGTTTATGATCATAAGATAGTATCCAGAAGTAAATTTTGTAAAAAAATAAATCCATTTTTTCCTTATTTTACTTTTAATGGATTTAGATTTTCTGCCAGGAAACAACACATTCACTGTGTAGTTAAAGTTTTTAAAATTTTAATAACTTTCTTATACTATTTTGGATTTGTACCAAACTTGGACAGAAGCTTGTTTATGATTAAAAGCTAGTATCTAGAAGGAAATTTTGTTTTCTTCCAGTTAACATTACATTCAGTCTGCAGTTAAAGTTTTTAAACATTTATTAGATTCATAAACTATCCTGAATTTTACCAAACTTGGACAGAAGCTTCTTACAATCAAAAGATAGTATCAAGAGGAATATTTTAATTGATTTACTTCCTCATTTTTGTTGAGCCTGCGATTAACAGAAAAAGTAGGCGAGACACTGGGTTCCGCGGAACCCTTACGAATTTTTGATATCAATACACAGCTTGATTTTATTAATAACTTCCATAAGACATGTAAGAAATAAACATTTATAAAAATACAATCATAAGTTCTTCAATAACAATTGTATCAAGAAAGATGTCTTAATTTTACTTATCAAAGAACCTTCGAGGTTACTGATTCATAAGTGATTGTAACTCATGGTCCTAGTACATTTAAAATTTCTTGCAAAAACAGCCACACTACTAATCCACTTTTCCTCATTAATAAGAGGATTTGATTACAGTTTGAGCCTATGGTGCTAAAACTAACTTTTGGTAACCCTCTATATGTAACAAAAATGTTTTCAAACAGGGTTTTTGAAAAAAAAACTGTTAATTTCTGACAGTAACTGGTACTAGACCAGAATAGTGTATTATCATAAATAGTAATTCTTATGGTCCTACATTCTTTTGATACTTTACTGAATTATAGCATTGTACAATATCTTGCTTTTCTCAAACTGCTTATGATGCCTTTTCAAATCCTTTTGATGTGAACTGATTGACATTTTAGTCTATGAAAAAACATTATAATTCTTTTTGTTGAGAATTAGGGTTTTCCCATGTCTTATAGTTATACCATTTATATGTTAAAAACTGGTTAGAATAGTTGCATTAGGGGTTCTTGGTGGCTAAATTTAAATATTTGGGTTAAAATATGCACTTTGACAGTTTAAAAGGTGTAGTTCCATTATAATATATAATTAACAATGGAGTTTGTTGGAGGTGTCAGTGTATCGAAGGTGCTCACTGAAGTTAAGACTCACAACGTACCATTTATTGACCTTGAATAATAATACAAGGATCGTATTTTGTAAAATTTCCAATAATTTATATGTATTAGACAGTTTGTTGAGGGGCGTAAAGGGGGGTATCTACATGGAAGAACGCGAAATAAAATTGCAATTTCACGATGAACGAACAATTAAAAATTACTTGCACGTTGATCTTTTTACTGATTTCACGAAACACGGTGTATAACGAACCCTTTTCACTGCTGCACGTGAAATAAAAATGGCAAAACACGTTGCACGAAAATAACCCTTTACCACCCTCTTTGTTGTATTATATGAAAATGTCAGCATTAATATTGATATTTAATTGTACATTGGATTATTATGTAAGTTAATAAAGATGATTTGCAAGAAAAAAATAATTACAAGCACTCAAGTCTATATCTCGTTTTTGTCTTATTCATACAAAGAATTTTGGTAAAGAAATGTTTTAAATTTTGATGAGCATGGCGAGGGAGATTTAAAGGTATACTTATTAATTGAAACATGGCTTAGAACTATCTTTTAGTAACTGCATGAGGTAGCTCTTAGATTGGTTCGAATTATCTTTGTGTCTTTTGTATTTTTGTTTCTGAAAAGTGAATTAGTTTCACACAGTTTACATTTTTGGATATCTAGCACCAACACTGTAAGCAATGATTTAATTTAGCTTTTTTTAAGCTCACCTGACCTTAAAAGCCATTTGAGCTTTTGCCATCACATGGTGTCTTTCGTCGTCTTTAGTAAACTTTTTCAAAGATCTTCACCTCTGAAACTATTGAACCAATCTCAATTAAACTGTGGGTCATAGATCCTTTGGTATATAGTACAAAGTTTGTGATTTCAATTTCGTTCAATCAACAGACCTGGCTGCCAAAGTTAAAAATACAACATAAGAGTAAAAATTCATTGATTGTCTTATATCATGAAAACCCTAATAGATAGAGACAATCTGAGTTCAAAATGTCAAGTTCTACCTTCTTTGCATTTTTACATTTTTGGACTAATTTTTAGCTCACCTTGCCTAAAAGGCCCTGTGAACTTATGCCATCATTTGGCGCCCGTCTGTCGTTGTACACTTTTGAGAAAATTTTCTCTGAAACTACTTATAGGTGAATTTTATCAAAATGTTCCTTGGGTATCAAAAATTGTAAACAGGGATTCGATTCATCAACAAACATGGCCGCTATTCTTAAAAATAGAACATATATATAGGGGTTAATGCAGAAGTTGGCGTATATGTCAAAAACTTAAGCAGTTAGAACAAATGTGATAGGATAAAAATTATCGTCAGGTCAATGTCTATATCCTGTGGAATTTTCAAAAAAATAAAACCCTTTTTGTAGTCATTGTCTATGAAATGTATTTTTTGGGGGCAAATTTCACAGTTTTTGGTAAGTATCTTGAAAACTATAACAGATAGATATTTCAAATAGTAAAAATTACCAGAACAATAAGATTTACGCCATTCACAAATAAGTCAACTTGGCAAAAATCGTGTAATGACCTCTTAAATGAGTTAGTTGCCTATAAATGATGAATTTTACCGTTTTTGCATTTTATCTAGGAAACTATAGTTGATATGGAAAATCATTCATAATGATAATGTTCAATTAAATATTATCTACAAATATGTCAACATGGACGATGATATATGGAACCCCAATTTAATGTGAAAAGAAAACAACATACTGAATTTTACAATAAAAGAAGATAGCGTGTATAAAAATCTTTTCGTAAACTAATCAAAAATAATCGTTTACTCGTTACATTTTAGATAATTGATAAATTAACAGTACATTACATATTTTTTTTTATCGCAATATAAATCTTACGAACAATTAATTTTCCCTTATAGATTTATTACCAGTTTTTAATTTCTGACCAAAATCATTTGTGTATTTGAAAGAAAAATTCCAAAAACACACGAAAGAGTAACTAGAATTTCTGCATCATAACTTACTTTAACAGTTTGTTCTGATGTTGTAGTATAACATCACTGTCTCAGGTTATGAGGAAGGTTGAGCGCTCACACACATGTTTAATCCCTCTACATTCTTTATCTGCCGGTTCCAAGTGAGGAGCCTGTAATTCAGGAGTTGTTTCTTGTTTGTTTTATTGTTTTGTCATATATCAGGTTTTTACTTGGTTTTTCTTTTGAATTGTCTGGGCCTTTTATAGCTGGCTATACCATGTATACGGTATGTGTTTTGCTCATTGTTGAAGGCCGTTCGGTTACCTACACATATAGTTTCATTTGGAATCTGTTAGATAGTTGTCATATTGGCAATAATCTAACATCTCCTTATTTTTATATCAATATTATTAAAAACAGGACCTATTATTTTCTGTCATTATTGATCTCAGAGGTATTGTAAGAATACTCCGATGCTTAATTACATCCTATTAATTTTACTATATAGTTTCATCTTCCCCTAACGTAGAAAAAATGTTAGAGTAGGTTGATTACTTATACTAACACGAGCAACACGACGGGTGCCACATGTGGAGCAGGATCTACTTACCCTTCCGGAGCACCTGCTCATGAGATCACCTCCAGTGTTTGGTGGCGTTCGTGTTGCTCAGTCTTAAGTTTTCTATGTTGTGTTTTTTGTACTGTCGTGTGTCTGTTTGTCCTTGTCGTTTTCTTTTTTTTTTTTTTTTGCCATGGTGTTGTCAGTTTACTTTCGGCTTATAAGTTTGAATGTCCCTTCGGCATCTTTCGCCTCTCTTTTATTACACTATTTTTACCGTGTATGTCCCTTATCAGTTGGATGAATGAATTATTGTATGTACAAAAAGCATTTGCAACCAAGAAGTAAATTACAAATTTTACATTCGTTTGATAATTGATTGTAATGATAGAGTTTTAGCATTTTTGTTGACCTCACTTCATGATATGGACTAATGGAAAAATTGTATGTACTATTGTTACGCATTGAAGAGTTAATAATTTAACTCTATACATTATATAATGTAATACATCAATTCACACTCGTTTTGAGTTTCTTGTAATGAATCATTTAATGAATATCAAAATTGAGTAAACTTTTAAGCAACACTATGTCATGCAGTCAAATGATAACCTCTATTAGAATTAAAACTTGTACATAATTCAAATTCACAATTATAACACTCACAATCATTTTTGAGATAATGCTCCAATCACACAGAGGATCAAGTGTTTGTTTAAATTACATATACATAATAAACAATAAATAAATAGATCTATAATTTATTGATTAATGTGTTTTTGATCTCTTAACAACTGCATCCAAGGCCAAAAAAAAACGTGCATAAATTCTGTAAAGTGGATACATCTCAAACCAGTAAAAGTCTGAAATGGCTTATATCTGTACTCGACTGTACTGATTTTTACTCGACCAGTCTGAATTGGTCTGAAATTTACTTGATAATACTCGACTGTAGTCTGAACCATACTTAATAGTCTGAACTTGTATTCGACCTTTACTCGATCAGTACTTAACCATTTAATACGTGTCTGACCCGTACTCGACGTAGTCTTAACAATTCTCGACCAAGTCTGAACCATGCTCGACCTAGTCTGAATCATACTCGATCTAGTCTGAACCATACTCGACCAAGTCTTAATCAACGTAGACCTATTTCTGTATCTATCTATTGTATTTCATCAATTTAGGAACTATCTTTAACAACAGCTATTTCCCTTCGCTAGAAATTTGAACAACATTTTGAAATCCAAAATGTATAGTATTAAATATAGCATTGGAACCAAAATTTCACAATAAACATAATATAATCATCAACACCATCCATATTCATCAATACTTATATATACAATGTATATCACCTTTAAAATGAAAATAAAACAAGATGATAAAAGGTAGTGATTTCTGGTCGGATTAAAAAAAATATCATGTAATAAATTAAGTTTTCGGTTAATCGAATTTTTATATACATGATCATGTTCACACTGCATTATGTACATCATAAATACTAGAACTTTCGACCATTATTCAAATATCTTAAATGGTATTAATTTTTTTTTTTTGAATGTTTCAGATATATTTTATGGTTACTGGAAAATTTTCAACACAAACTTAAGCCTGATATAAATTTATGGTGTCAGTCGAATTTAGTTAATAACGCAGTGAACATGTTATTTTATTGTATAGAAAGCAACTTAATAAAATTTAAAAAATGACACCTTTGTTTTGTAAAACCGAGCATTTAATATTATAAAATTTCCATAGCAATCCTTGATAATCTTTTAAAAAAGGAATTGTGTTCCAAAGTTGCAGTAAAAATTTTGGTTGATTAATTAAGTTTTATTAAAATTAAAGACATGGAATACAACATGTACAAGAAGCACTCTAATAAGGTTTAATTACCTCAGTACAGGTGTGTTTTACAGGTAAAAAGAAAACCTTATTTTTCTTTAAACTCGTGTATTATTTATCTATTCAAAAGGCCTTGTGATTTAAGTTTTACAGGATGTTGTTTAATTATCAATGGATGTTATTTAAATTTATTACTCTGACCAGGTGTGATCTTTTTAATGAGTGTGCCCCAAGCAGGAGGTATGGCTTTATAATTTACCCCTGATCAGAACAACAATTGTTATCATTTCTTTTAATTTTTCAGCCCTTTTAGATATATATATATATTTATATATATCCCAAATTATAATAAGAATAGATATATTTCTGGTATAAGGTTTAACAATTTCAGTGATTTTGTTGGCTGTTGTTACCTCAGTTAAAAAGATAGTTATATAACTTTTGTATGTAACCATGAAACCTATGTAGTTTTTATTAAAGAATTTAGGTGAATTAAGTTTCTTAAAAAAAACACATGCCAAACAAGAAGCACCTTAATAAGGTTGTATTACCCTCAGTACAGGTATGATTCTCAGGTAAAACAAATCTTTTGTTTTTTAACAAAACTCAGACTTTAAAACTAGATAATTTGACTATCTCGCTTTGATAAATCTGATAATCATGTTTTATATATCTTTACTTTATTGTGGCTGTTGTCATGTCAGTTAAAAAAAGTTATTTAAACAGTTAAAATTTAAAAAAAGTAGAGGTTATTTGGTCAAGTATGGTTCAGACTGGTCGAGTATGGTTCAGACCGAAAAAAATAGGTCGAGAACTGATCGAGAATGGGTGGGTTAAGACTGTTTTAGACTGGTCGAGTAATAGTTCAGACTTTTTTCAATGGCAACGATAAGGGTCAAGTACAAATCAGTACAGTCGAGTATGGTGAAGATTGGGTTCGAGTTATGTCGAGTGAAATTCAGACCAATTCAGACTGGTCGAGTAAAAATCTGTACAGTCGAGTACAGATATAGGCCATTTCACACTTTAACTGGTTTGTAGTGATAGTGCTGAGGATTACGACATCATTTTCCATATTTCAAGCAAGAAAATTCAAACGATTTTATGACTGCCATCAGTTTTAAATATCTCTAATTATCACGAAGGTATTGTTTTTTTTTTAAATGCCAAGGACTTTAATTTTCCCAGCTTACTATTCGATATGCCCCGGCGGCACATTATGCACACACTTTCTCCTAATGTTTTAACCAGTTTTATTTAATTGGATCATCGAAAAGGAAATGATCAGAAGTAATATAAAGTCAATATTTCGATGAAATCCTTAAACGGAAACAAGTACAACATTGGAAAATATCTGACACAAGTAAGAGGTTTTAAGCTATCTCTGTAAATCTGGAAATCTGCCATCGGATTTTGAAATTGAACTCTCTACACGTTGATGAACTCTTTTAATAACTCCTTGGGTGGCCCGTAGGTGGCCTGTTGTTAATCAAAGTGCCTTTCCCTATAATACGTTCATATGTTCCAGTGTCAAATTATATTTCAAACCTTCATTCAAGTAGACCTACTTGCATATACATGGATTATTAGCCACTAAACGTTAATCCAGCACGTAACAGTCCATAAAATCAATACATTTCTTCTATTTTGAACATACTCTAAATTCCAAAGATGGATCTATGATTGACTTAAACTGTATTTTTTATTAATTTCCTCCAATGATTGTAGTTCAAACGTATCTTTAGTGTTCTGCAAATTTCGTGTAAATCTGTCATACAGTTGTTTGGCTCGATCGATTTCATTGCTCTTGCATATGCATTTTATAAACAGTATGGATGCTTTCTTCTCGTATTTGTTCAGCTTTTCCTTGATAAGCTCTTGGCCTGTCAAATTTGGACACAACGTCTCCAATATTTTTTCGGCTTCAGTATAATCTTCTATGCATTCACAAAATTCGCCGACACTGAACAGTAAGCTTTGAAAGCATGTTCTGTCTTCCATTGATGGTAGCGACTCTTGCAGTCGAGCTACACATTCCTTGCCTTTGGTAATAACTTCTTTCTTTTCCGTCTCGTTTTGTGCAAATCGTAGCATGTGCTTATAACACCGAATTAACTGCTTTAACCAAATTGCTTGACAATGGTCATCCGTTCTGGTATCAGTTTTGAAAATTCCGAACATAAAATATCTCCTGTCCTCTTGTAGCATTGCTTCACATCGGCTTGCAACCTTTTGAAAGGCAATCATATTGTGTTGTTTAAGATCAGAATGATCATCAATGCACTGCTGTAATGTTCCACTGCGCTCTGTAAGCATAGCATATAGACATTCCCATTGTTGGAACTTGTTTGTAATCATCTGAGCCAGATGATATGAAATGTACAAATAACTGCAAAAAGTCCTGGCTTTAATGACATCAACAGGTGTTATCAAGTAAAATATTCTTCTTCCATGTGTGTAGAATGTAGACAATAAGAGTTCATAAAGGAATAGGCGTGTCATATCCTCTAGTGGTACAGCATAGCCTTTATGACGCAATGTTTCGAACTCGCTTTCATTTAGTCTCGTTTCCCTTTCAAGATCGTTTTCTAATATTTTAGAAAGTGCTGATATATCATCTTCTGCTCGGTATTTTTCCAGAATATAATATTTCGCAAAATTTATAAATTTATCGGCATTGCCTGAAGCTACGCTTTTCATTTCATCAAATAAATGTTTAGCCTTTTCTTTACAAAACCTGTCTAGCTGGTCAATACTTTCCACTCTCCGGCATTGGTCTTTTAAATCATTTTCAAAAGCTACCTGCTCTACATTCAATAGAACAAAGCAATATGATTTTGCCATGTCCGAATGATGTGCAGCAACATTCAAAATGCCATCGAAATTGTAGGTATATCCAACCAAATCATGCACGTATATTACAGACATAAGAAATTCCAGGTCGTGCCGTAATGACTGGTCTTTCTTAAATAATTCATCAGCATGGATTAGAGCTGATCTTGCATGTTGAACCATCATTTTATTCCTTTTGAAATCAATTTTACTTCTATTATCTTTGTCCATGACATACATGAATGCTCGCAATAATTGTTTCAATAAATTTCTTTCCCTTGTTTGAAGTTTCATATGGCCAACATTTGACTTCTGTTGCTCACAAAATATCTTTAGCGAGGTTACTACTGCATAATGGGTACTTAGTACTCTGTCGTCGTCCTCTCCTTCAATTTTTCCAAAGGAAAATTTTTGTAATGCTTGGATGAAATTGTTGGTTTCAACAGCATGATTTGTATCGGGACTATCAGATACAAAGTAATCAAAAAGAAGTACAGGAATGTCTTCAATTTCAAGGAACTGGAGACTTAGTATCATTTCAAAAACCTTTGGATTCTCCGTATTTTTTAGAATATCTATGAATTGAATAAGAGCTTTAAAAAGGGTTTTATTGTCTAATACTGATTCAGGATCATCTTCTATACAGTGACTGTCCTCTATTTGTCGAAGTGCTGTATTTTCGCAAAGTTTGTTAAACTTTTTAGGTGAAATATGTGTTCGGTGGATGTACGTTCTAGCACAGTAAAGACCCAAAGGAAGGAAGCTGTACTTAGAGCCTAGTTTGGTGTATTCCTCGATATCATTCTTTGATAGCTTTCTTCCTTCAGAAAGGAAATTAACGGCTTCATCTTCAGTAAACCCATTTATTTCGATAATTTTACAATCATTGAATAAAGGCTGGAATGTAGTAACTATAATTTTTATATGCTGGCAGGATCTGCATTCTCGTATGAATCGTTGAAGGAAACGGCACGAATCCAGCATCACATCATCTAAAATCAATACATGAATCGCTTCCTTTCTTGCCTTTAGGATCTGTAGAATTTTTTGTCCTAGATCTTCAATGGAATCTGTAGTTTGCTTACTTTCATCCATTTCCACTTTTAAGTCAAGACCTGTACAAAAGTGTTTTAATGAGGTTTGCAAAGATGTTAAATCTTTACAGTGCAGTTTCCAGACTATACTTGTAGCGTTATTTTCCTTGAATTCGCAGGCATATTTCAATGCCATCTGTGACTTCCCAGACCCGAGCAATCCTAAAAAAAATACTTAATATGCAATTTCACCATTTGTATATATTATTTAATAATTTAAATGACTTCGTTCCTATTCCAGATAAGTCTCAAGCACACAAGTCGAACCTTCTTATATCTTTTTGTAGTTTATCTTCAAACATAACAAGTACATTCAATTTCCTAATCACAATCAGGCATTTTTTAGTTGAGACACTAGCGTACATGTATGATTTGTGAGTTTTCATAAAAAGAATCAATCTGTATTTCGTATTCGTACAAATTAGATTATTTCAAGCAATGGATGTTAATCATCTAATTTAAAATTCAAACGAGCAACATCATACTTATTTTACCTTGATTGCTGAAGTTCCTGATGAAAGTAAATTCATTAAAACGCTTCTCACGCAAGAAATTTATCAAGTTTTATTTTCAATCGTTAAACGTTGTCGCTGTTTGTCATTGCCAAATAATATGCATGATGTTTCGTTGCACAAGAAAAAAAAATTACCTCCGTACAAAATTCAGACAAGGAGAAAACTTATTGTATTATTTGAACAATAGGCGAAGGTATCATCACATTTAGCTGACAGTTTAAAATGATTTCCAAATTACGAAAGGAGCAAGATAAATTATTCTGACTAATGTGTTTGTTTTAAAAATAAAAGTTGTTTTTACTGCTTGCAAATTGAATTGAAAACCTCGAAATTCGTAATCCTTCAAAGTATTATACCTTTAAGAGTGACAAAATTGATACATGTACTACCAATTGCTTCTTTCAACTCTGCCAATTTTCTTGTAGACTTGAAATGCGTGACTATCTTCGAAGAGCTGACATTGGAGGAAGCTACAACATGTACAATCTCTTGAATATTAGAAAGATCAATCATATGTTTCAAAAATATAATATTCAAATTATTTGATAACTGAGATGCGTTGCTGCCAAAATCATTCATGTTTTTGTAGATAATTATATATTGTTGTTAATGATTTTTATTTTGTTACTGTTTATAAGTTAAAGATCTAACTGACAGTGAGCGAACATTCTATTTTAATGACTATATGTACCATTTTTTTCAATAACGTTTAATACCTTGATTTTTAATAGATGAACGTTCTTCCTTTGGATAAAAGTTCTGTAATATTTGTAAGGCCTTTGCATTTTGTAAGGTTTTTAACCACTCCTGAAGTTGTTCAGTATTGTTTTGGTCGATTATACCATTCTTTTCCAGTAGATCAAAACATTGGCATCCGGATTTTGCTCTATCAAGTTCAGCTCTATTTACATCTTTCTCGATAACTAGAAACTTCAGTTTTTCTAAATCATCTGTAATTTAATTCATATTTCTTATCATTAAAATAGTATGTCTTTTAGTTAAACAATAAAAAAATATCATGATAATACTACAATAATAGGTTTACAAAATGATGAATTTGTTTATTTACAGTGACGCAACGTAACAGCCGAAAATCTACTGATTAAGTAGATAAATCAACTAATAACATTACAAATTAGGTGCACTAAGAGGTGATATGCGATAATTTACAACTATAGATGGCATCCTTAATTAAGTGAAATCAACATTAGAGAGGTTAATGCAACAACAATATTGTTCACTTATGTTTACAATTGTTGATTTAATTATCCTTTATAGTTTGGGACAGTTTGTTTAGTTTGTTTAACTGCCAAGGCATTCTCCGCTCCCTTTTTCATTCCGATATCGACCGAGTTTAATATCGATTACAGTGTATATGTTGTTAATCCAATATGTTACTCAGTTGTCTTTCAGCATTTTTTTTCAAATGTACTTTTACACGAACATTGAGCCAGGAAAAGTACATTGTTTAATTATCTAAACAAATCCGGACTTTTCATAAACTTCATTTCCAGTGCAATTGGAATATATTAAAATATTAATAACCTATCCTTACTTTGACATATAGTAATTGCTAGCTTGTAATTTCGAGTAGTCACATCAGTATCCAATATGAACATCTATAATCTTTTTGTCAGCATTAGATGTATAGGAAAAGTTATGATTTATCTTTTAACGCAACAATATTGTTTTTGTTTTGTGTTGTCCTTTTTGCTGGATAAACATTTGCAGAAGAGAGGCGAAGAATACCAAAGGGACATTCAAACTCATAAGTTGAAAATAAAATGACAACGCCTTGGCTGAGAAAGAAACGGACAAACAATAGTACACAAAAAACAATATAGAAAACCAAAGACTGAGCAACACAAACCCCACCATACACTGGGTTGATCTCGGGTGCTCCGGAAGGGTAAGCTGATCCTGCTGCACATGTGGCACCCGTCGTGTTGCTCATGTTAGTATAAACCCGGTAATAAGTCTGATTCGGTAGGTCACATTCGAGGAAAAGGGGACGGGATAGTAAAACAATTGTTAGCAGTATTATGCATTATATTTCTTATATCTTTCCAACACAAGATCATAATTAGAAATGTATAATAAAGACAACAACATGTTAATGTGATATGGATATGAACCCTGTTTTGTACTGGACCGACACGCTGCGCCGTATTTGTAATGTTATAGTTAACAGGATAACAGCCCGTAACAAGCTATGTCACCCTACCCGGACACATTATTTGGATTTCGGGCCGACCAGTCTTTGTTCTTATACCTAAATGCCGCGTGTTAAGCAGAGAAGCAGCAACCAATATTTTTTAAGTCTTTGGTTTGACCCGGCCAGGATCTAAACCACGACCTCCCACAACTGCGTCGAGCCCACTAGCACGAGACCATCGTGGTGGTCGTAACATTTATGGAATGACATTGTTAAACTTTTGCAATGAGATGTATGAACTCATTTTGACTTTTTCATTCTATATGTTTCTACTCACTTTTAAGGAAAGAAGGATTAGTGTTGCATGTATGGTATTTCTTATTTTAATATAAAATTTTATTTTGTTCGTTGCTGAAAGGGTATTGTTTATGTCAAATAATGAACAATCATACCACTATTATCTAAATATTACTAACACTGACTTAATATTATCGTTTTACTGTCTTTGTATAACATTCATTTAGTAATGATTATAATTTTTCTATGTATTCTCAAAACATTGGCAGAAGTTAAAAAATCAAGGAGGTGTGGTACAAGTGCCAATGAGTCAACTATCCACCAGATACCAATTGACTATGTAAGCAACTATAGGGAACTGTATTGATATCGCCAATGAACAACACTCTTACCGCATAGCAAGACATATTTACAATTTACGTGAATATGGTCAAACAAAACACATGACCGCAAAAGCAATGGCAGTATAAAATAACCAAAATAAAATGCTCCGCGGAACGCAGCTTGATACCACAGAGGTCGAACCTTGAACAGTTAGGGCAAGTATTGACACAAAATTGAAGCTTGATACAGCTCTGAATTTGGATTATGATTAAATTTTTGACATAGTATAGGTTTCTGACACAGAATGAATGTAGTTTAAAAACTTAAAAATTTGAAATAAGACATTTACCTATTATGGTTCAATATCCGAAATCTAAATAAATGGTTAGATTCAACATATCAAAGAACCCCAATAATTACATTTTTGATGAAATAAAACAAAGTTTAATTTTGGACCCTTTGGACCTCAATGTTGACCAATTTGATAACGGAGCCCTAAAAATCCAAAATCTAAATACACGGTAAGATTCCGCATATCAAAGAATCCTATTTATTCAATTTTTGTTGATATCAAAAGAAGTTTAATTTTGGACCTCAATTTGGACCAACTTGTTCATTGACGAAACTAGGCCCAAAATCAAATATCTAAATACATATTTAGATTCAGCATATCAAAGAACCTCAAGAATGCAATTTTTGTTAAAACAAACTAAGTTTAATTTTGGACCCTTTGGACCTTAATAAGGACCAATTTAAAAACCAGGCCCAAAACTATAAAACTAAATTCACAATTAGGTTCAGCATATCAAAGAACCCCAAGACTTCATTTTTTGTTGAAAACCGACCATGAGAGACCCTCATGGGTGGTCAATGTCGTTAAAAGAAACCCTCGTCCGTTTGTTGAAATCAAACAAAGTTTAATTTTGAACCCTTTGGACCTTAATTTGGTCAAATTTGAAAATGCGGCCCAAAATTTAAAATCTAATTACACGATTGGATTCGGCATATCAAAGAACTCCAAGAATTCAGTTTTTGATGAACTCAAACAAAGTTTAATTTTGAACCCTTTGAACCTTAATGTGGACCAATTTGAAAACAGGGCCGAAATCTAATTACACGGTTAGATTCAGCATATCAAAGAACACAAGAATTCAAGATTTTTGAATTAAACCACCATTGAAATTGGTCAAGAAATAAGCAATTTATACAAAATATTAGACGATTATTGTTTGTGGCTCCTTAATTACGTGTTATAGTGTTCTTTTATTTGTGTCTGTAAATTGTTGACCTTTACTGTTTAGTCAATTTTTGGTAGTATCCTTTTGGCGTGGCTCGGTAATTAGGCATCCCGCCAATGTGGTGTTGTGCTGTGGTAATTTTTTGTATTCTTGTCTTTCATTTTTGCTTATGTGCTTTGTCTTGATGCCATTTTGCTTTTCTTTGTAAACATATTTGTTTGTTTTTATAGTGATTAAATTATTACACAATGTTGACTGCTGTACCCCTATTTTTGACATGTTTACCTATTATGTATGTTTGTTTTGTTCACACATTCTTGTCATTATAATGGAATTTTATGCGACTGTCATACAAGTGAGAGGTTGAGCTAGCTATAAAACTAGGTTTAATCCACCATTTTCTACTTAAGGAAATGCCTGTACCAAGTCAGGAACATGACAGTTGTTTTCTATTTGTTTCATGTATTTGAGCTTTTATTTTGCCAATGATAAGGATATTTCCAATTTGAATTTTTCTTGGAGTTCGGTATTTTTGTTATTTTACTTTTTTAGCCTTTTGGCTTCTAAACAATTAGGACAATAACCCCCAAAATCAATCCCAACCTTCCTTCTGTGGTATGTAACCTTGTGGTACAAGGTCATAGAGATCCATATACTTATACTCAAGTTATTTTCTGGAAACCAAATGTCTTTAGACGAAGACGACGACGACGACAACGCCAACACATTTTACGACCGCAAAATTTTACGACCTTTGCGGTTGTATATAAATAAAAGGGAGTTAATGTAATCACTTTGTTTTTCATTATTTTGTATTACTTTAAATTTAGAAATCATTGGGAGGTTTTTATTAAAGTGAATACTGCGACTTCTTTAGTATCGCAATAATCAAATACATATATCTGTATGTTGCTTTTCCTCAAATTACAGTAATTAACATTGCAAATGTGATAATTCTTCAAAAAATGCAATAATAAATTCACGCAATAGTTTCTGAATTTACAGTAGTTTGACTGTACGTTGTGCTTTCAAGAAGAAATCCAATTATCGCATAATAAATGTGTTTAAAAAAAAACAACGAAATTTTTGTTTTTGTTTTTGTGACTGAAGTTCAAACGTAAAGATATAAATTACTAACCTGCATCAAGTTGGTCTCCGACCTTGACTAATGTAGTATGGAAATCTTCTTGCAAATTCATCTATATAGAAAATACAACCATAAATATATACAGATACACACATTATTTTTATAAAACATATATGCAAACCACTTGGGGGTTTACTGTAAAATGAACTATTTTTTATATGGGTTTATTTTCGATAATTTTGCGATTACGATAAAAATATCGAAATATCCCTTTCGCATGAGAACATTCTTTATTGATGGTCAGAAACAAGGAAAAACGCGAAAATACCACCTTTACTAGAAATCTCGAAATTTAAATTTCGCGATAATAAATAACTTCACAGAATAGCTAATGTAGTCATGGTTACTTCCTATCAATTATCTCTATATTTCATATATGTTTTTCATATGTCTGTTTGTTTTATTCGAACTGTTCCTCTCAAATTAAAGCATCAAGAGATGAAAACAAAAGTGCAGTAACCATGCACACTTATACTGTTAAAAGTTAAAGCGTACAAAAGAACATACAATTGATTGATTAAAATAGCGGTGAGCTTTGAATCTAAATATTTTAAAAATGATTCACTATTGAAAGTAATCTAATCTATGTGAGATTAAAAGTCAAATTGTCAACAAATCTTAAGATAAACATAAAACGTATATATGATAAACATTACTATATAGTGCGGCAAAATGAAAGAGAAATGTTAAAGTTTTAAAAGATATATTAATGTTTTTCATCGTTTTGTATAAACAATCCATGTTATCGGAATATGAACTTTCGGATATTTCTTTTTTTTTTTTTAGAAAAATAGAACACGGATTGACATTGGCAAGACGCATTTACAAAATCGTAAATCGTGTCATGTGAATATGGTATTTATTCATAGAATAAGACAATAGCAATCATCAGATCAGATTTATAATATATAGGCAATTTTTTTTCAAAAGGTTACGTTATGGAGAATCTGTGGGAGAACACATCTGGATTCCTTGGAATTGAATATTAATGTCAAAGAATCAAAAATCGTTCAACTAATATATATATATATATATTGGTTGTTAACAATACCATGGTTTCTTGGTTATCAGGAAGTTTGACTTTTGCCTGCACCATTGTTCAAGATAAGCTTTTTTTTTAAATTTTTTAGGAAAAACCATAAGACCTAAGTGCATCGTTTTGAGATCTCAAAATCATTGTCTTAATATGAATACAAACTTATCCAAACTGATTCCGAATGAGACTTGTCACCGATCTTCACCATGTCATAAGCATTGCTGATGACACTTATGTGAGCTGGAACTGAATATCTCGGATAATAAGAGCTAGTCCATCCCAAATATTTTAAGTTTGTAAATGTTGCTTTTGCTAAATAGTTATACAAACCGAACAGAAAGATTGGGGTCACATAGGAATCACAGTTTTCGTCAATCCGTTCGTTCATCTGTTCGACGTATGTTTGTCAGTTTATCTTTCTGTCTATGGCACTGTTTGAAAGGGCGACTTCCCCGAAACGACTAGACGGATACTGATGAAATTGTACACAATAATTGTAGAAAACTACCGAAAGATGTTTGTAATGGAATATAATCCTGGTTCTACATGATAAATAGGATATGATCGAATTTACTAACATCAATATCTTTTAAATATATGGTACTAGTAATATCTCGTAACTCCTCTAGATCTTTAACAGCTAGACGGATAATGATGAATCTACTCAGTTGTAGAAACCATTCTGAGGATTGTGCATAAAGGAATGTAATTTTGGTCTCACATGTTATTTAATGTGAAAGATTGTCTATTTGACTTACTTTAATACATTGTGCATTCAATCATGTGGTAATATTCTTTTGTAAGACCGTGGGGGTATATTTTTTGTGAGTTCAATCGCAATTCTAGTTATGTGTTGTATTTCAAGAATTTCGTCACAGCATCTCCTTCAGTCTTCATCCACTTCCATTTTGTATTTGCCTACAAATATAGCATTAAATAGGATGGAATGACTACTAAAAGATATGATGCGTTTTTGGCAAGTAGAGGGGCAATGTATGTGTCTTCAGTGATGCTCGATGAGGAAAAAACTATTTGTCATCCAAAATTTGATCACAACGAGGTTTGGGTGTTAAAACCAGAAGGACAACAAGCAGAACAAAACCTGGAAAAGGAATCAGAGCTATGCATGGGAGAGATACATTTTTAAATCTAAAATAACTTCCAAAATTTTATTACAGCAAAATTCAACAAAACAATGTGTATGTCATTACGGGTGTACTGACTTCTGTGCTAGTATTGATTCATTGATAGTAAAACATGAACGGTACCTATTTAACTGCATCAACAATGACTTTTCGACAATAAATGTCTCTTCGGTGATGTTTGATGCCAAAATATGTGAAAATCAGTAACGTTATGCAAATGTGAACGAGCTGGTAAAACAATAAAGGACCGGCATTAAAGCAAAACTCGAACCGGGAATCAGAGCTATGCATAAAAACGATAAATTCTGAAAATTAAAAGGATTTCAAAATTTTCTATAAAGCGAATTATAATAAAACAAAACTGGTATTTCATGTAAGGACCAAAGTACTGGAAAACATTCTGAAAATACCATCGGAAACTAACACCACTAGCAGGTATCAATAACATGAAGGCACCAAATACGCATTTCAACAATAAATGTCTCTTCAGGGTTGCTCGAGGCCAAAACATTTCCAAATTCAAAACCTAAAACATACGTTGAAAAGCTGATAAAACAATGCAAAAACATTCCAAACGTAATGTCAAGCCATGACAAGAATTCAGAGCTACAAATGCGTGAGATGTATCTCTTAATTTAAAATGATTTTATAGATTTTATAACAGCAAATTTCAGTTAAAGAATCTCCATGTGAGTACAGATGAAGTGTCTTCTAAGTTGGTGATACATCCGGGAACGAACAGTCGACCACTACAGGTATCGACCATTGGTAGTAATAACAAGAACGGATCTAATTTTACTGGACCAGATTGACATTTCGACAATTAAGTGTTAAATATCTTTATCGACATTCATTTATTTCTCAGATACTTATTGAACTATTTTAACTAGGTAAAGTGGTTTTTATTCAATGTTTATATCAAACTCTGTCATCTAGGATTGGAGGAATGAATAAAAATTCTCACATCTAGGGGAAGCAATTATACATGGTTGGGATTGTATCAAAATGAATTAGCTAAAAAAACGTGTTTTCTTTACCCCATATGTGATTTCCATTTTCGGAATTATTGGATTATTATGATTTGAAAGTTTGCCAACAAAAAATCATATTATCAATTTAAGTGCCAGTCTTTATAAGAATTAGGCAATTTAGAAAAAAATCAAGACATGGCCGAAAAAACCCAATGACTTAACCATCCTATTTTGAAATTACCCTCATCCTGAGTTAGAAATGGTAGGTCTTTCGTTTCTGCTTGTCTGGTAATTCGAGAAATATCTAGATAACTTTTGGTTAGAATGATAGCTAGCTCCCCTTAATTGTTAATTTCTAGTGCATTTCAACCAAATTATATCTTGCATTACCAGAACAGGAAAAGGAAACGAATGTTTTATTCGTGCACCATTATACAATTGCAACATAAATTAATGTCAACTTGAGTGGGTTTTTGTTTGTCATGTTTTTCACCACTGCCTGATTCTTAGGCAGATTGGCACTTAATCATCCAAAGTATAATTTTCACCATGACAAAATTCAGTAATAACAAACATGTACCAACAAAAAAAATACGTATTTATAAGAATAAACATGCATGCAGCAAACACAATACGTGTATATATGAATAGCACACAGATATATATAAATATAGAGTCGAATGACATCGAGATGGAGGTTAATTCAATTTTAGAGATAGAGTTGTGAAATCTTGCATTTACATGACTTTTTGTATGGCTCTATAAAGTAGTTTAAAAATGTTAAATGATATATATTTTCTAACATTTATCATCATAAGGAATACGATTCTTCATGTAATTAAAAACTTATGTTTAAAAAGTCATGGTGTTATAACCTTCTAATATGGAAAATCATCCCAAACTTTATATTATATGTCCAAATGGCAAACAATCACAGCATCAAAGCTCCAATATGTATCTGGAAAGAAAACATATGTTGGAACAGATATCATAACACCATTCGCAACATTCCTATTTTTATTGTACATGGTTGTAATGTTTCAATAAATATGTGAAAGAAAAACATTTATTGGTATAGAAATCTCATTAGCTTTTTTGGCCCTTGGTTTATGTACCTTCTATTATTAAAAACTGATGCCCTTACATGTAAGAATACCAAATTATCATAGCATTAAAACACTTGTTCTATTTATTATATTTCAATAATTATCTGGAATGATAGTAATAAAACTCCCAAATTATCCTGATCGATAAAGTACACAAGCAGAGATATCACAGAACTTTTACTCCGCAATCATGGTATTTTGATACATAAAGATATAAAGCTTAAGGTTCATGTGGACCCTTTGGCTAAAATGGCTGCATTTTCACCTTAAAATTTACTCCGAGTACATACAAACCTGTGTATCTGGAAAAGTTTTAAGGTATCGCATGCCCTAGATAAATAAAATTCAAAAATATTTTATGTTTTAGAAAATCAAAAACTTAACAAGATTTTGCAGTGCACTTTTTTTCATTCCTCCAGAAGATGTTGTGAAAGAGGTTTGAGAACTTCCCCAAAGGTAATAATTGAAATGAACTGTGTTGATTGAAATGGACAAAAGATGGACAATAGATACCTGACAATAATTTGTGATTTAAACCGCGTACCTGAGTGGACCATATCAAGTGAAACTCAACTGTTTGTTAACTTTATCACCTTCTGAAGGGACGGGAAAAGTGCACTGCAAAATCCAGTTAAGTTTAAAAATTTCTAAAACATACAATGCATTTGAATTTTATTTATCTAGGGCATGTTATGCCTTATAAACTTTTTCAGATGCACAGGTTTGTCTGTACTCAGAGTAAATTTTAAGGTGAATACGCAGCCATTTTAGCTAAAGGGTCCACATGAACCTTAAATAAGTAACAAGAATGAACAAACGATGTTTAGAAAAATACCACAACACATTTTTTCCACTACCACAAAAAATGAGTACACCCTCGACCTATAAGATTTCGAAATTTCAAATAATCACAAATTTAAGCTATTCTGTACTGTTATGATGCTTCAGTTATTGCAATATTGAAAATTGAAATGAAACTAATAAGCCATGGTATTAAAACCCCAACAATGTAAAATTGATCGCTTCTGCATCTCTGATCTTCTGATAATCGTAGTATTAAAACTACTTTATCTATATCTTTGATGCTCCTATAGTTATCTCTAATGGACAACATAAGTTGGAAAAGATATCCCAATACTTTTCTTACCCATGCAATGGTTTTTTGACTCCCCATATTGGAAAATTGACTTTCCCATGTTTGAATTGCAATATATGCCAGTATTTCCGATTCTCGGGTATGATACTTTTCAAACCTCACTCCAACATGGAAAATTGACGTCCTTTCCCATCTACATTTTAAAGTTATCGCAGTATTTTCTGCCGTGTTATATTGACCGCCTTACATGTAAAATTGAGCCCATAGCCCATTGTATATTGGACGTTTTAAAGTACTTATTATCAAAAAATGCAAACAACACTTTATAAATTCCATGCGTCCAAAGCGTTTTTTATTTAGATATACTTCATCCGGAACGCTCAAAGCCGAATATTTCAAAGCCAATGATATATCCATATTAGATCCGAAACAGTTGAAGAGCTATATGACCAAACAGGACCTAAAAATCATAGCCAAATCCATCTTAAGTCAACTTTGCCCGAGGGAGTTGAAACCTTGGTATCTTAATAATTTTAGAATGATTTGGTATAAATTATTTCAGTACCGCAGTATTGACAACTGAGCTGATGTCACCCTCGGAAACTGATAGTCCACCAGCAGCGGTATCGACAAATCTAGTTATGATATACTTATATAAAGGAGTCAATTTGCTATGAGGTGTTCAAAACACAATGAGGAAAATTTGACCCCAGGGTCAGTTGTCCAAAGGTATTTCCAGAGATGCGTCTATTCTACGTTCTCTCATGCACATTTTGTTATTTCACTGATCGATATCAAAGGGGGACTCCCAAATATACAGAAGACAAACCGTTTCCCCCTGACCTTAAGATTTTTTTTCGATTGGATGTCGTTTGGTTGCTTATTTATTCAAGTATAACCGCCACATACATTTGATATATGTTTGTTCATCAAATTCATTTCCAACATCTTTTGTCATTTTTCATGTTTTGAATGTGAAATTGAAAGTTGAATTTTAAGAGATTAATATTATTTTTTTAAAGTAAAAACAAAATCAGTTTAAAACTGAAAAAAGCATAAACTATTATATTGAGTGTTAATTGAAACTGTATTTGTATAATTACATACTTCTTACTGGTTGTCAAATCATCCAGGTAATAGTATGAACATGATTACCGGTTTGTTTAAAAACCAAAAATCAGCGAACAAACACATATTTCTCATGAACAAATGTTTACATCTATAAAAAAAAGAAGATGTGGTATGATTGCCAATGAGACAACTTTCCATTATACTTGCAAATATTTAGTTTGCAAGTATTTAATATCTTAGTACGACAATAATGTATCTTGATTTTTGATACTCTAAATCTGATCCTCTTAAACGGTTACGTCAATAAAAACACATGTATAGGTAGTTAGTCATATCATAACCCGGATTTTCAGAAATCAATAGATAAAAATAGAATGAACTCAAACCTATCAAGTTCAAGTGATTTAAAGTCCTGAACAATTCTGAAATGTTATGGAAAATTTTCAAAACAAACCGAGCAAAATACAAAATATAGTAATCAATTATAAACATTATAATAATGCAATTCTTATTTATTTGTTTGTGTTTTTGGTTTTAAAAAATGAACACTCAAAACGATACCAGTCTTTTTTGTGTAACAGGAAAAGCCATGTTGTTAAAACAGTACGTTTCTGTTGTGTCGTAGTTCTCCTCTTATATTTGATGTGTTTCCCTCAGTTTTAGTTTGTAACCCGGATTTGTTTTTTTCTCAATCGATTTATGAATTTCGAACAGCGGTGTACTACTGTTGCCTTTATTCAGTACTTGATTGTATGCACTAAATACATTATGTCGAATCAAACGGGAAAAAAAACACAATGCTGATTAGTTTCTTAAGTATATATTTTGTGAGCTGCCTGTTAAGTTGTAGTTCATAAAACACATTACGACTTGCTTCAAATCTAACAAAATAATATCACAAGGTACATCAAATCAGATACCAGACAGACAATGATTAGCATGCACACAGGATAACACTGGACCGTATCATTTAATAGAGCATGTGTTACAGAGTTTGTAAGGATGTGTAAATCTAAATATTTTTATTTATCTGTCACTAGGAATTAATTGAATATTGGTGAAAAACTTCATTTCGAAGGTTGAAAGGAAATTCTCTCAACCTCTGAAGCATATTATCTACTGAATGATAACATGGATAAGGTCGGGTTTATCAAGTTAAACTGAATAACTATGTGAAAGAGCTTTAAATAAATTAAAACTACGGAAAACCTCTTAACGAAAAACCTGCAAAGTAAGTGAATAAAATGTTTTTCAATCGCACACATACTCGTTCAAATCTTTTGGTCCTTTTGTACTTCGGTTCGGTCGCGAGAATGTCCTAAACTCTCAGCTAAAGAAATTGTTCAGGTGATAATTCAGTTTCATGTATTTCATGTGATTAGAGACCAGTTTACTAGCATCTGAATTTTCCTCACATGAAAAGTACTTTTTTTTATCCACGTGTCTCTTAGTATTTGCATATATCTTCCCTTTGTGTTGATTAAAACAAAGTGTTCCTTTGGTCATCTTTAATAGACTTGTATTTTCCGGAAGCTTTGTTCTCCTGTTCCTATTGTATATCAATTTGGTCGGACATACACCGGTAACTGCATGATTTGTACTACATATATACGATCGGCTGTAAGGAAATTTAGCAAGTCTGTTTTCCAGTCCTTCCCTTCTACGGAAGGATTACGGGTAGCTTTTAAAAATGTCTATTTTTGTCTGTCGACACAACATTTCGCTCTTGCCAATAAGGAGTTACTCTTATGTGTTAAGTTCATATTTTTTGCGTTCTTAGATTCAGTTGACGTGAATTGTTAATCTTTTCAAAACGCGAACTTCTGTTCACCCACAGTAATAATCCTCGACAAGTAGAAAATTCTCTAGGATCAAATACATCAATCGACACGGACATTTAGAAGTTCAGTTCGTTTCATGAACCAGTATCTAAGTTTATTCTGTGCCCCGGCTAACCGGGAAAAAAATGCATGGTCTGAAACCACCATCCTTTTACGTAAGTCTCATTTTGGTTTCATTATCTCTTGGTGCCCTGCTTGTGCTAGCCGTAGAATCCTGATCCAAGTATCATTCGGTACTGCTATTATCGCCCCTTTCATTTTAATGCTATCGTTATAATCGATTTATTTGTATTTTACTTTGTATTGCACCAAGACCTACGGGATAGTTACTCTTGTGTTTGGCTTTGGGATTGAAATTCGCATTTGTTAATCCTTGCTAATCGAACTCATTTTGATTACTGCAAATTACCACATGTCCATGTAGCTTTTTGGCGTATGAATTCTCGCAATGAAGTTGGTAAAGTTGAAAAGTCTTTTATGAATCGAACGCATTAATTTACCAAAACCTGACACTTCGATACCATTTCTCGGTTCATGTGTGTTTTGAACAGCTTCAACTTCCACGTTTGCTAGACCGATTTCTTTAGCTGAGAGTTTATGGCCTTTAATTCAATTTCGACATTCCTAATATACATCTGTCTCTATTTAGCAAAACACCTCTATTGCTAGACCGATTTCTTTAGCTCAGAGTTTATTGCCCCGTAATTCAATTTCGACATTCCTAATATACATCTGTCTCTATTTAGCAAAACACCTCTATTGCGAAATCGATTTACCAACATCTCTAGCTTACGGGTCGTGATCATATTGGTCTTTGCCATACACTATAATGTCATCGGACTGATTTCTGGTCCTCCCATCCTTGGAATACTTGAGCAGTTATACGTTGGTAAATTTCGGATGCTGAGGTAAACCGAATATTAACTTTGTATAGCGATATAACCCTTCGTGAGTCACAATTGTTTTTATCTCGCATGATTCGTCGTCTTATTCGATATAGCCCATCTTAAACCAGTTTTGAATACTCTGCCTTGCCTTTAATATCTTCCGAAAGTTTGTCCACAACATGTCTGCCTCTAAGTGAATAAGTACTCGTGCGGATCATATCAAAATATAGTCTAACCTTATAGTTTCTTATAACAACAAGAAGCGGCGAAACGCAAGAAGATCAAGCGTCTATCAACTTTCTCTTAATGTCAGTTTTTCAAACTCTTGGATGTAGATATTCTCAACGGCATGTCTTATTCCAAACGGTAGTTTTCTAACTGGCTGAACTTCTTGTTACACATGTTCAACATTTAGATCAACATGAATTTTGCGTAGAAGTTCTTTTTATTTTCACAATCATTTAAAACAAGCAGCATTTTTTGTAGGAGTTCCTCCATCTTTGAATTTACCCCTTTGATCCCTGGACCAACATGTTATATGCATAGGTTTATAGCGGTCTCCGTAAGGCAGTCTCCTTTAATCTCTAAGAATTCAATCGACAATTCCTGCCACGGACCTTTGGAAGTTCAGTTTTATGTGTTCACGTTTATTCGGTGACCTGACTAACTGCATAACAAAAACGATCTTCGAAAGCCATCGACGTTTTCGTTATTTCATGTCACCATCCTTTTCCGTCAGTCTCATTTTATTTTCACCATCCCAGAGTGTCTTTCCTGCGTTAGCCGTAGAATCCTGATTCAAATATTATTCAGTACTGTACAACAATTTAATTCTATCGTCATACTCATTTTATATTCTATTTCACTTAGTATTGCACCAAGACCTACGGGATTGCGTCAACAATTACTCTTATGTGTATGGGCTTTCGGATTGAAGTTGGCTAATGTCTCTGCATTTATTAATCAAGGCTATCGAACGCATCCTGCTGAAATTGCCATATGTCCATTTAGGTTTTGGCGTGTTAATTCTCGCATTATAGCTGGCAAAGTTGAAAAGTCTTTAATCAATCGTCCGCATTAATTCACCAAAACTAGAAAACTTCTTACTTCGATACCATTTCTCGGTTCACGAGTGTTTTTCAATAGCTTCACCCAAACAAAAAAATTTGAGGAACAAATCATGGTAACAAATGATAAACAAATCGTATGATTTCTTTGTGATTTGAAAGTGATAAAATTTCACATGCAAATGAGCTAACAAATCACAATAACAAATCACGAACAAATTGCTAATAATTCATAAGCAAATCATAAACAAATTGTCAAGAAATTGTTTTGAAATCATTAACAAATCAGAAGTAATTGCTTTCCTACTTCAAGCAAATCACAAACAAATTGTTTTCAAATCGTAAAGAAATTGTAAAGAAATTGTTATCAAATCTTAAACAAATCAGAAGTAAATCATATTTCTACCTCAAGCAAATCATTAACAAATTGTTTTCAAATCTTTAACAAATGAGAAGTAAATCATATATTCCTACCCCAAGCAAATCACAAGCAAATCGTACATAAATTGGCATCACTCATCATGCAATTCACAGATTAAATCATTTACATCCAAATCAAAAATATGTTCTGCCCCTGAAACCCCCAAACTTTGAAGCGCAGTTGTCTTCATTTTACCTTTAATAGCTACTCCTCTAATTGTAAAAATGAATACTATATTTGATTGCAATGAGGGACAAATTGTTCCCTCTGTGTAGGTTTCTCTTACTTTTCTTCCGAATTTGACTATAACGAAATTTCAAAAAAAAACATAGGCAACCACGTGTACTAAGCAATTGATGTCAAATAGGTGATGAGTCTTAGTCTTGGTCCAAATCTGCTACATTGAAATATAGCTTTGTCCATTTTGCCCGGGACCTGGTTAGTAAACATCAATTAAAACATTAAACTTGCCAGTGAATTTTGTCTGCTGGCTCGGGAAGCTATAGTCTTGAAATTAATGTTTTGATCTGTTTACACATCTTTTACACATTTTTATTTTGAAAATTAATCCTTACAGCACAAGATTATTATGATTATAACGAGATACTGAAGTGCACAGTTTCTGAATTTTAAAGGTTAACGTTTGAATAGTATTAGTTGAATATGTGAAATTATAAATAAATAACTGAGATTCCTTACCACCGTCATCTTTCATAGACTGAATAAAAACTCCTCATCTTGCAACCTTCTGTGTTCAGTTAATATTGAACAGTATTTGAAATTTGAATTTGACCTCAACCGGAAGTCAGAGAGATAGATAAACAAAGAAAATTTGAATGCATTAACATTTTATTCATTG